ATTATATATGGGTATGAAACATTCATAAGATATATATACTACATGTATTCAACTTCTTATCTTGCCCAGCCAGAAATAGTATCCAATTTCAGAGTAACAATTGAATCTAATCGACTCCACTAAGGAAATCAACAAGATCCAGCGGGCCTATCCCGGCCGATCAGCCTGTTGCTTTTCTGCCTGTCACACAGACCAGGATCCTCTGAGAATTTCTCTTTGGTAGTTTCTAGGTATATAATTGGGAAATGATAGTTAATTATTGTCACTGGGGAATGATTTGCCTCTCTTAACTCTGATCCGGATAGTCCTTACTTGGTGGCGTAGAAAATACTGATATACAATAATCCCCTAAAAAAAAGAAAAATAGAAAGGAAATATAATAGAAATGAAAAAAAAAAAATGAAAATGAAAAAAGAAAAAGGGAAAAGGGAAAAAGAAAACAGATATCGAGTCTAGAGGATGATCTGAACGCACGGTTCTGGTAGTCGCCCTCCACCGGGTCCACTGTGATTGATTCTCTCTCTCTTCTCTTCCCTTTTTCCTCTTCGTTTCTCCCTCAAAAGACGGGGCAAGCCGGGATTTCTGCAGACATTCTTCTCTTTCTTCTGCTCAACTTAGTCAGCTTATTTTATCCTCCACTGATCGACTTTCCCGCTGCGGCTCAGCGTCATTTCGCTTCACCTCTTTTTTTCCCCTCTCTTAACCGCTGAGTTTCACTGTACGAAATTCCCTGTTTTATTTTAAGATCCCCTTTCCCTTTCTTTTTTTATTTTTACTTCATGTTTTTGGTTTATTGTCAAACGCCATCTATCCAGCCTGCATAGGGATGCGTTTGCTGCACCACCCCAGCCTCCACCTTTCTGTACGTCCCTAACACTGCTTTCTCAAACCCCCCCCTCGACTTGCCTGAGACTTTGATCTTTCTCCCCCTTCATCCGGCTTCGGCCTTATTTTATCATTCGATGCGCGCCACTTTGAGAGTTTCTTCTACATTCCTGCATGACCTTGAAACGACCAAAACTTACGCCTTTCTGTTTAGTTCCGCTAAAGCTACCCGCACTTTGATATGCTCCATTGACGATTCTTAATGATTCTGATGACCATTGTGCTTCTCTGAATTCGTCTACTTTTTTCAAGAAAAGTCTTGATTGCGCTTCTGTCTAGGCCACCCGAGTCTTTACAAAGGTTTACGACTTACTACGAAGCTTCACTACGATATTGCACGCCCCTGCATCGCCTGCATTTTGCATCACTTGTACTTTTTTTTTTTTTTGGAACGTTTGATCCTGAAAGCCCATTGGAATATTCCGTTTGCAATTCTTTCTCTTTTTTTTTTTCCCTCCGTGCAACGTGCAACGTTCGCAAGTGCCTGTGGATTTCCAATTCTGCAGCCTATATTGATAGCACGCCGGACGATATTTTCAACGTCCGCTCGCTTCAACTCTCTATTCTAAACCGTTTATCCGTGCAACCGAAAAGCTGGAGCTGCCGTCGATCTCGCAGGTCCATACCCGCGGTCCTGCTGACATTCCCTGGTACAACCACCACGCAGCGGAACGACCGTTATTGCCCGGCGATAAACTCCCCGCTCTCAGCCTGCCGACAGCCCAGGGCCTTTCCCGGACCGCCTATCACGATCCGTCCCTGACCAATTCCACCAATTCTAGCGCTCGCACAAGTTTGTCTGGTGCCTCTGTGCCGGCCAACGAACCTAGGAGCCCCCCGTCCTCTGCGGACCTGTCTGGGACCCAGGGTCGGCTTTCATTAGACTCTTCTGCGACTGAATACAGTCTCCCGCCTTCGGTCAACGAAGGGTACTATCCTAGTCCGACTTCTCTCGGCAGCATGAACCAGGCCCAGCCGTATATGGATGTCCACTCGCACATGTCTTCTGCTCAATCATACGCTCCTCAAGGCGCAACCGCAGGCGCAATGTCCCACTATCAGTACCACGGGCAACCCCCCGTGATGCAGCCCGCATCCTCCTACGCCCCGGCTGCTTACCCCCAATATGGATACGCTAATGGCGTGACTTCACCCCCAACTGGACACCCACCGAGCTCCATGGGCCAGATGCCGGCTCAGTTGCTACCTTTGCCTGGTAAGCTCCAAAGCCAGAGTGTCGATGATTATTCTGATCGTTATCAAGTGAGCAATCACGCCGTGGCACCTCCGAGTGGATATGGGAACAACACTGGTGCTCCCCTACAAGGGTTTGTCTTTGATGGTACCGGTCAGGTTGCTCCTCCGGGAGCCAAGCCCCGAGTGACAGCCACATTATGGGAAGATGAGGGCAGTCTTTGCTACCAGGTGGAAGCAAAGGGAGTGTGTGTAGCTCGACGAGAAGGTAAGTTGATTCTATGACAAGAGGTTGGAAATAGTTTTGACTAATTATTTCACAGACAACCACATGATCAATGGTACCAAGCTGCTCAATGTAGCTGGCATGACTCGTGGTCGACGTGATGGAATTCTCAAAAGCGAAAAGCTGCGCCATGTTGTGAAAATTGGGCCCATGCATTTAAAAGGTGTCTGGTACGTATTTGAAGGACTGCAACGAGCGAGTGTACCGTCCATCGCTAACCATTTACTCTTCAGGATTCCATTCGAGCGTGCTCTGGAATTTGCCAACAAGGAGAAGATCACAGATCTCTTATATCCACTCTTTGTGCATAATATCGGAGGTCTTCTATACCACCCGGCCAATCAGACTCGGACAAACATGGTAGTGCAAGAATCCCAGCAACGTCGGTTGGAAGGTCCTCCCCCAGGCCCCCATCGCACGCCGTCTGGCTCCCAGCAACCCCCAATTCATCACCAATCCTCTATGCAGCCTACGCCCATGTCCTCTCACATGTCCCAAGGCCCAATGAGTGGCCAGCCTGGCTCGAGACCTGGGCTTGAGCGTGCCAACACCTTTCCTACACCGCCTGCCAGCGCATCTAGCCTGATGGGTGTCACCAATCAGAGCGGTTCATACGAATGGGGCGGGCAAGTGCCACACACACAGCCTTTGTCCATCGACACCACACTGAGCAACCAGCGCTCAATGCCAACCACCCCGGCAACCACCCCACCGGGCAACAACATGCACGGCTTGCCAGCCTACCAAGGCCAAGCCTACGACAGCTCCAAGCCCTACTATTCCGCGGCACCACAATCACACGCCCAATACGCGCCGCACACCCCGCTGACCCAATCAGGGATGTCCAGCTACGGCCAATCCCTGCCCGGCGGGTACATGAAAAGCGAAATGGCGCCACCAAACCCACGCCCCGGCGCCTCAGAGCCCGAAACCTCCGAGCGCGACTCAAACCGCTACAGCCAGAGCAATGGGCCCGGCGAGCCCGTCGCCGAACACGACCAGGAGTACATGCAAGACCACAACACCGGATACAACTCCAACCGCGGCTCTTACACTTACACCACGAACCCCTCTGTCAGCTCCCTGACCGGCGAACACGCCCAGCTCACCCCAGAAATGACCAGCTCCCCGAGCCAGCAGAACGGTTCCGGTCGCATGACCCCGCGCACGGGCGCTGGCCCCCCTCCCCACTGGGCTTCGGGGTATAACACCCCTCCCCGTCCCGCCGCCGCCACTACCCTGTACAACGCTGTCAGTGACACGCGCGGTACCCCTGCCAACGGTGCTTCCGACCCTTACTCCATGGCCTCGACCACGGCCCCAGTCTATGCGACTGGGAACGGCTCGCTGAGTGCGGGTAGCAAGCGTATGCGCGAGGATGAGGATGTCCGTCCCGAGAGTACCGCTGAATACGAGACATCGAAGCGTCGCAAGACGATCACCGATTCTACCATCGGTGGCCCAGTTGGTGGCCCGCCTATTCTTCAACCAATGAAGCCTAGCGCGGTCATGGCTCGGCATCGGTGAGTGTGATTCAATTATCGGTTCTAGCTAGCTCGTGGTTCTGTTTCTGTTCGGGTCTTGTTTGGTTTTTGCTGGATCCCTTTTTTTTCTTTCTTCTGTTGGCCTATTTCTAGTTTGGAGTTTATTTTTTTCCCCCCATGATAGACTGCGCATGCACAACCTGCATGGCGCGTCGCGGTCTTGTCTGAGTTCTTACCACAAACATGTGGGAGACTGGCAGCCTCGGCGGTGTCGAAACGAAACGAAGCTCATTTGTCTCTTGTCTGCGTTTGTTTATGTTTTCAGGTTTAACAAATCTCGGAATATCTAACCTGTGTGGGGAGGGAGAAAGAACTAGGCGCAAGATCTGTTCATGGTCCAACATTAGAAACGCATTTCTTGATACTTCCATGTTGAAAGCCTTGTTGCTTGTTGAAGACTTGGATGGTGATCGCAAACCTCGATGACTACGATGTGACGAATCTCTTATGAACGAATTTTCTTTGTGTGATGACTTGACCACGAGCCATCTTCATTAACGAGTTGCTTTGCTTTTCTTTTTTTATTATCATTGGTGCTTTATCATTTGTGCGTGCTCTGGGGTTTGAAAAGGATATTCTTTGTGGCATGGCCTCGGCTCTGGTTTTACTTCCCTCTCTCTACTTCTCTGCGCTGCTATTGCTTCTGCTTTTGCTACTGCCACTCTACTAGAGAGATGATTATCATGGTAATGAACGGTTATGAATCTGGGTTTGCATGCCTTTAGCGACATACAACGTTGGTTTTGGTCCGGTCTAAATGGATTGTTCTTTTTCCGACTTTTGTTCCTTTTCTGTAAATGTAGCTTACTGAGATCCTGTCGTGGTATTGAGTTGCTGACCTACCGTTCTGATTTTATGCTATAATTCCTCTGGGACATCGTCAGATAGAGTCTATGTCAACTGTATGAGGTTTGTATATATCGCCACGTGACCCAATCTACCCTATCTTACCCAAAACGGCAAAATCAAAACATATCGAACCATGGTTCTTTCCGCTTCGCACCACGGCGACTTCTCTCGTCAATTTCAACTCAAACACAACCACATGCCCCGAACACCCCATCCCGGCCAACGAGACCATCAGATAACGAATGGACAAACCCGTTACGAAACCGCAAGAGCCAGCTATGACGACCGACCGACCAAAACCATCCGCAAAACCACAACCCCCGGAACCGCGAAACCACCGCCATTTCGACACCTGGCAGTCAGCCTCAACAGGACACCAGCGCGCAGCTGAAGGCGGCGGTTTCCTTGGCTCAACGTCATGGCGAGATGCGCGCTCGGCGAAATTGACCAGACAGTATCAGAGTGGGGATTGTCTTCCGGGGCGGGGAAGGGAATCCGGACAGGGAGTGTGGAACACAGGCACACAAGAGTCGACGCTTGTACCTGGCGCGTTCGATGGGAAATGCGCGCAGCCTCCGCCAGCGCCTAAAGCTTCTGGTGAATGGGCTATGGTAGCTGTGGATGTGGCTAAGCGGAATGAACTCGGCGTTCGGGATATCCGGTCGTTTATGGGTGTCAGCAAGAGGAAGGCTGTGGATGAGCTCGAAAAGGATATAATGGAGATGAAGAAGATTAAAATTAGAACTGTTGTTGGAGGGAACCGGAGCCTGTGTCCGAGTCGAAATACAAAGAAAAAAGACACGGAAAAGGAAAAGTCTCAGATAGAAGACATCACCCAACCCGAGGCCCGCTCTGGCGCAAACCTCGATCTGAAATCCACTTCGCATATCTTCGCTGGTGTTACGATATTCATCAATGGCTCCACGCTCCCTCAGATCTCGGAGTATAAGCTGAAACATCTACTCGCGTCGAACGGGGCGAAGACTTCTATCTATATGGCCCGGAAGACGGTGACGCATGTTCTTGTCGGACAGCCCAATACCGGGGCTGGGGGTGGAGCAGCTGTGTCTGGTGCAGGGGGAGGTCTTGCTGCAGGGAAACTCCAGCAGGAAATTGCCCGTGGAGGGTGGAAAGGCGTGAAGGTTGTTAGTGTGGACTGGTATGTGTTATCATGATACTGTTGAATGACCAGCGAGTGGTCCTTTCTGACGTTCAACTTTTTATAACTAGGGCCCTCGAGAGTATCAAAGCTGGGCGTCGTCTTGCGGAGTCCAGGTTCCCTGGGATGCATGTTGCGTCTAAGGGGCAGCGGGGTGTTGCTGGGATGTTTGCCGTGCAGGGGGTGAAGAAGTGACCCTCTTTACATGGATATGATTGACATTTAGCGACTTCGTTATTTCTTTTTTGGTTTGCGTTGTATTGTATATCGCCTTTGCCATGGATGGTGTTCTGGATGGAGTCACGGTTCTCCGTCAATATTCTGGGTTGGGATGATGAATCTTCCAACTACGCGCACTTATGATACCCATGATCTATGATCACATCGAATCTAATCTGATTGTCCTGACTATGGAATATCTGCTTTGGGGTTTCTCTTGTTCTATTGACTAATGCACTACTCCGTACTGTTGCCGGCACAACTTATGATGAATGTAGACCTCCAATCCTCTACTTTCGACTTGACACTTGTACTTGAGGTTCTCATTTCATTAATAATCATGCATCATTATCATGACATCCATTATTTACAAAATCAAAGTCAAACACCACAATCATATCATGTACAGATCGGTGATAAAACGGGGTTCGATCACAGAACACGAAATAGTCAGAAAAAATAACAGACAAGAAAAAAAATAGCAACAAAACATCCCAGTAAACGCCATAGCCATGCTAAATACAATGTGAGAAAGAAATCGTGATATATGCGTCATAAATCAGAATCCCAAGACGGCTATATAAGCCAGACAGATCGCGAAGCTTTCTCACATTCACCTAAAGGAACTTGCCCTACCTCCGCGCGCGGAATATGTTTCGCCATCATGGCTGCTGTTGTCAGACATATGCCGACGCCAGCCGCTCTGTTGGCGAGTCGGGTAGGTAGGCGGGGGATCGTTGTAGCCTTCTGTCTCGCCAGACACGGTCGTTGCCATATCAGACTCCGAAGAGACTGATCTCAAGCCGGATGCATTGGTTGCAGTGGGCGTGAGGTCGAGTGTGGTGGTGGGCGTAATATCAGGGAGTGGTGGAAGGGGGTTTGGATGGCGGTGCGTAGAGAAGGAGGATTGGGCGGGAGGTGGGGCACGGGAATGGGGATGGACGGAAGAGTTCGTCCGTGTGCGAGTTCTGTTGCCACTGCCCCTCGATGAAGGGTGCTGCTTCCAGCCCTCTTCTTCGTGGGAGAGGGGTTCTGGGGATGAGGTGGCTTGTCGGTTGTGTGGGAGGTAGTAGGGGTTGTGGGACTCGGAGTGGCTGTGGTGATTATCCTCATATGCGGGGAATGCGGCAGTGGACATGCTGGATACGGAGTCGCCATGTGGCCGGCCTGCGAACATGGGCTGGGGTTCGCCGAGTTCTGACTCCGCGCTCGACCAGCGTTCTAGCTTTTCGTTCAGGGGTTCTTCTTCTGGTCGTGAATGGCGTGAGTCACCGTGGACGAGACCGAGTGATTCTTCCTCGGTTGCGGACTTGCGCAGGTCGGCTTCCAGGTGTGTTCGGCGTAGGATGCCACGAGGCGGCGAACCTGGTGCGTTCCTGACGGGGGATTCGCTGCCAGACTTCCCACGGGCCATCATGCTGTTGAAAGAGAACTGGCGGCGGGCAGTGTTGGCGAGAGGTTCGGGTGCCAGAGTTTCTGGCTTTTCGTCTGCCCATGATATAGACCGCGGCGTATCGCTACGCGGACGGTTTGGGTTGAATGGAGCCTCCAAACCCCCAGACATACCAGCGCCATGGTATTCGGTGTCAGCATTGCCACTTTGGTGTGGCATGTCTGTCATGCCCACCGATTGTGTGTTGGAATTATAACCTTTCTCCTCTTCTGTACTTACAGCCTTCCACTGGGAGGGATGAAGCACGCTGGTAGCCCGAGACCGAATATTATCCATGAAAGAATGACCGCTTTGCTTGGTGTTAGGCCGGTGGTCCTCCTCGGGCTCAACAGCGGGCACTCGGGACATTCCCCACGGTAGATGTTGTTGTTTGACCGAGGGTGTTCGCGGAGTGATTGGTCGTGACATAGTTGGGCCCTCACCAATGACAGTCTTGCGCCGGCGCAGGCCATCCCATTCAATTATCTCATTCTCGCCTGGCACTCTCAGGGTATCCTCATGCTTGTCATGGAAGAAACGGCGGGCTTCATCTGATTCCATAGTGCGGCGAGCAGTTGAAATGCGACGGATGATAGAGGCTGCACCTCGAATGGAGTCTGCCTTGGGCTCAGACTCGGGCTCTTCCACCGCGGCAACCTCCCGAATCTGATCCAGATCGCCCTTGAAAATAGCAGCATCGGGGACGTCCTTGGCGGACTTGGATAGCTGCAGCAATACCACGCCGGCACAGATTTGCAAGAACCCAATGATCACAGTTGCAATCTGAATCCCCGTGCCCTTGAAGCCCTGGAATAGAATGGCAGAAGTGAGAATGGTGGCGCTAGTGAACATCACATAGTAAGTCGGAGTGACCAAAGCGGCATTGAAAAGATTCAGCGCTTTCTGTATAGCAATGTTAATATAGACATGCGAGATGATGAGAGCGAAGACGTACATTGAGGTAAATAATCTCAGTCAGCAGTGTTCCAATAACAAACACGAACAAAACATAGAGGAACCAATGCTTGAACTGCTCCTCGCCATTAATCTGAGCGAGAATAGCAGACCCCAGGCCCTGGGTAGCCACGACACTCAGCCCGCCAACCATGCTGCAAATACTGATATAAACAAACATGCTCGACTTTCCATAGCGCGGACCAACCCAAAGAGCCGTAAAAGCAGCTCCAATAATGATCAGCCCAGCATAGACCAGAAAGCCAGGTTGGATAACAAAATGCTGCATGCTCTGAATGTCCTTGACAGACGACTGCTCAGGCGCATTCATAGCAATAGTCACGGATCCAATAATACAACAGAAACAGCCAACCTTCCCCACGAAACTAAGTCGTTCCTTGAGGAAAATTGCCGATAAAATCGTCGTAATCACGACCGAGAGCGCACCAAGCGGCGTAACCAAAATTGCATCGACGAAAGCATACGCCACAAAATTGCAGATCTCTCCAACAATCATCAGCGTCATGCCAGTCCACCACCAGAAATTCTTCAGATATCCATATCCCTCGCCGGCCTCCTCATTGTACTTCACGTTCGCCTTCAGCAGGCCGATTTTCTTAACCACAAACGAGACACCGATAAAGACGCCCGATGCGACAGCCAGCGAAATACCGACGGCTTTGTATACTGGTGGGCGGCCTGAGGTTTCCGCACGCGCGAGGAGGTTGTTTGCATGCGATAAGGCGAAATTGGGGTCCATGATGGAGGTTGGAAGACCACACTGACCAGCAGTGGGAAGAGGTGAAAAGTTGTGTCGCGGGGACAGAGAGTCGTCCGAAGACGAGACTCAGCGACTATTTGAGACACTTATCTTCCCTGCCACGATATTGATAAAGACTCGGCGTATCGCCGGGGCGATTATCAATGGGGGCTGAATAACAACGGTTTCGAGTGTCACAACGACTCTAGTGGGGGAATTGTGATTTGGAATATCGACGATCTGGGAATGCTTCTGGAAAATGTCCACGAGGAAAGAAAAACGGTGGGATTCCGCAAGGGGGGTGTCAGCCGTTGGGCGCTATGACTTTCAGCTCAGAGGCAAATATCGAATTTCGAAGGTATCGAGAAGGTAGAGGGAACTTAAGACAAAGAATATGAATATGAATACATTAAAGAAAAATAAAGAAAAGGGGAACGGGAAGAGCAAAACAAAGAGGCTGGGTGTGTGGGGAAAGGAGGTACTGCTACTTCTGACCAGGGCGGGCTAGGCTGCGATCGACAGGTACCTGTACCTTTGGCATCGGCTTATATGGCTTAAATTTATGGAGATGTTCAGACCCTGTATTGCCTGTTTAAGATCAACAGGGTGGCAATTTAACTACGTAGGTGAGAAAGTATCTCTTGAAACCCCCCTTTTTTTTGCTCATTACTATACAGACCAATCCCACATTTAGAGTCTCATAAATGTCGTCATTCATTATGCCCGAGGCCACTGGCCTTCGTAAGGGGTCAACTGAGTTAAAATAAAACAGGCGTGGCGCCTAAGACGCCTTATCAGGCCCTAATAAACCGTCTCAGCAGAGGGGTATTCAGCAGGAAAGACACAAAACGACGTGATGCACATGTAAAAAAAATAAAAAAATAAAAGGCCTCGCGATGAAACGTGATAAGGGATCACCGCACGTGGTAGCTGGGTTTCCGTTGCCGGTTCACCGTTGGTGGCGGCTCATCGACTGGGTAAGGAGGTCGGGCTTTAGTGTTTGAGTTAGACGGTGCTTGCGAGAAGAGCGGTGCGGGCATGGCCACGCCGCCATCATCTTGAGCTGGGTATGGGATAGGCGTTTTGGGTGGCACTGGTGGCGCCATGCCATTGATTGTAAAATACTCATCACTACGGGAGGGTGAGCTCTGTTGTTGCGAGCTTGGGCGGCTTGCAAGCTCGTGGCTTCGACGATAATCACTGCCAGATTGCCGGGGTGGGGAAGTAGATGTGCTATCCTGAGGTGTTGGGTGAACCGGAAGTGTGTCATCCGGTGGTGATGTAGTCACCACAGTTGGAATAGGTGGTGGCGCTTGTGAAGGTGGATGGTGATGTGCGAAGTCAACAAACTCAGCAGGTAATTCCGCAGGTAGTTCGACAGCGAAGTGCGCAGGGGGTGGAATGTGTGATTGTGATTGAATGGGAGGAAGCGAAAGCTCTTCATTCTCAAGATCAAAAGATAGATCATCACGATCCCCGCCAGCTGCGGCGTGGGTCGCCAGACGACGGTTCATGCGCTCGATCTTAGCAAATCTAACACCTGCTTCTAGAATCATCTTCTTGACTTCAGGCCTGGCCAGATATTGCCGTGTGTTGGTGCTGATATCGGCTAGCCGGTTCCATTCGTTCATACCGAACTCGCCAACGCCGACCTCGACGTTGAGGCGGAAATAATTGTCTTTGCTGACATTGCGTTTGGCGAGACGGTCTCGCAGCATCTCATTGTGGATGTCCTCGCAGCCCTCGATCTTCGTCATCAGTCGACGCCGCGCTTCAGCGAATGTGCCAAAGGAGTCGCCGAAGAAATCCTCCCACCATTCATGCTGTCGGTTGTTGGTACCAGCTGGGCGCTTTCCAGTTCCCACACTGATAAAGACCCCAACTTCCCGACCTGGCCACTCGTTCACAATAGCTTCATCGAGTATAAGCGGCGCAGGGTTGAATGTACCATGACCCTCATCGATAAAATGGTGTTGACCAATCTGGATGGGCTTGAAAGCAAGCCCTGTCGCAGATGTCGCACGTCCTGCTTGCCAGACAGTGCAGTCAAATTCAGGTGGAGGTTCTCGGCGGGAGTCGTAGGACCGTAGAAGGACAGCCGATCCTTTTCGCGGGGTGCCCTTGTACATAGCAGTGACTGCACTATATTTCACATCAGTACTAGCGACCCATGTTTTCGCATTGTAGAACTCACGTTTTCGTCCGATTTTCTCGGTTATCATAAAGTAGCGCGTCTGGATTACCCCAACGCAGCCCATTAAGAAAAACGGAGCCTCTTTGGCTTGTCGGAGACATTGGATGCGAAGCAGCAGCGGTGCTGAAACTGCCCCGACTTATAGAGCGTTGTGGAATAGAGGGTGGGCCATATGGCAAGCTGGCCATAGAAGCCATAGATTCACGATTGGGGGCATTCCCTGTGTCATTTCCCTCTGCCTCGAACACTGTGTGTTCCCGTACACATTCCCGGATCGCCTCCTCGAGTTTCGAGGCCTTAAACAAAGTTGAGCGGTATGGAATACCAGCGATGGTCTTATCGGTCTCGAATACTTTGCGAGTCATGCGCACATATACTTCTTTGCATGTCTCGAGATCCAGGCGGAGGCGACCGAGCATCAGGGCGATCAAGCCGCCAGTGCCGGTACCGGCGATCAAATCGAAGTGATCGCAGGGTTTGGGAATCTGGTCGCGACGCGGAGGCTTGCCTTCGCATTCAACATAGGTGCGGTACATGAGTTCCTGGAGGAGAATAAGCATGGAGTAGCCACGAACACCACCGCCATCTGTTTAGGTCAGCTGAGTCTGATATAGGTCGAGAAGAGAGATGATACTAACCTAGAGACAGGATGCGCAGCGGGGGACCCTTGGTGGTGTCCTTGCGACGCAGATGGTCTGAATCCATGGCCATTGTAGCAGTTATGTTTTGGAACGATTACGACCGCTCTTTTTTTTTCTGCTGCGGCAGCTTACCCGCGGCGGGGCTCAGCGATGCCTTATGCACCGGATCGCGGGATGTTTGGCGCCTGACAGATCAGGTCTTGGAAAGAGGTAGAAGTGTCACACAGGTGGAACACGAGTCGAATGCAGCTTGGGTTGGATGCGTGACAGGTCAAACGTGAGGGTTGATTAGTGTGGGCTCCAAATAGGCAGCGGTGGGTGATCGGAGGGGGCTTGAGCCACAGTCCCTGAATAGTTCGGTAAGGCTGAACTTGACGCGAATGTTGTATAACAGTACAAGTCACAGAATAAAAGTGAAAAATAAACCTGGGACAAAAGTTATTGCAAGAGTTATTCTTAGAAATCGAATCCTCCACATTCAGTTTGTCTTTCCATGGATCAAGAAAGTCAGGTGATGGAATACTGGTGGCGGTGTCTATGATGTAATTGTGGCTGTGTATCAAATTGCTTTCTTGGGCTTTCTCACTCGGGTCTCACCTAGTTAGATACAATAATAAGAATATTTCATTGGCAAGTCAGTTACAATTATTTTACGATAAGAGTTTTGCCCGAAATCGTTATATTATAATTCCAACCTCCAACATGACGTCAATTCCCCAGATATCTACACAATACCGAGTCCATAGGTACAACAATAGAGAGATCTATTCAGTTTCAATTCGTCAGACCAGGCCAATCTAAAGAACCTAATTAGCATTTACTCCCATAATTCCCCAGAAAAAGAGAAACACTCACCAAAAGTAGACCTTCGAGTTCCTTTCTCGGCAACCGTAACCTCATCCCCAACCCGCAGACTAATCCCCTCGCTCTTCAGCTCCAAGAAAGCATATCTACCAAAAACAGGACTGTACTTCGCCCCAGAGTCCACCCGGCGATCCTTCATCAACTTTTTAAGCACAGCACCAGACTCACCAGTCCCCATCTTCCCAGTCTCGTAATCAACATTAAGGCTCTGGCAGCGTACACAATTCCCTGTCAGCAGCAGCTTAGGCGACCCGCGCCCTACTCCAGCGTCTACAGCCAGCGCTTCCCAAAAGTCCTCTTCGAAGGCCTCCCCAGCCCCCGTAATAACAATATTAGGCCGGAATTTTGTGCGGTCCATATCTTCCCCCTCCGGCAGCCGCGCTGAGACATTATCAACGGATGTCTCGGAGATAACGAGATAAGGCGCGCAGTCCGCGAAGGTAATGCGGTCCTCGTTCTTTGCATGCTGAGTGTAAAAGTAATATAGCACCAACGCCAACACCGCCGCACTAGCAGTGAAAAGGAGCGTGGGCTTGAGATATCCAGCTGTTTGGGGGGTTATCCCGTCGCGGAAGAGGGTACCACCCTGGAGAAATATATTAATCCCAGAAGCTACAATGAGAATCGGGAGGACCCGCTCCCATTTCCTGTCGGGTCTTGTTAGACTTTCGCGTATGGTGCGCAGCGCGGACTTTTTGTCTTGCTTTGCTGGCGAGAGTGTGCCCAGAACCTCTCTTGAATTTGGTCCAAGGTATGCTAGGACGACCGGGTACCCGAAGCAGGAGCTGAACCAGTCGTTGTACTCTGCGCCCATGTTGTATCCTGTCGTTGAGCTCTGGTGCATTACGACCCTGAGGGGTTTGAGGCTTTGGGGATCGGGTTGGAGTGGGATTTCCAGTCGGTTGGTTTCGAGGTGTTTGGGAGCTGGCTCTGACGGAGGAGGGTGGTATGTGATAATCAGTTTCCCACTGTGCTTCCCTTTGTGCGGATATTCAATGTCGGTGTGGAAGAGGGCCATCTCGGGGAAGTGTGGGACATGCATGTTCCTCAGGGTTGTGGTGCCGGAGCCATCCTCGGCTGCGATGACTTTGAGGAGCATGAAATGGCGGTCATATTGAAAGCCGCGTGTGGTTAGGATTCCCTCTGTGATTGTTGTTGGTCGGAGGGATTTGATCGGGTAGACATAGAGCTGACGGTGGGTCAGTATTTTGTTTCCCGACTTTGTAATTCCATGTTCGTACCTGGCTGACTTTCATGATTGTAGATGAAAATTCTGTAGTGAAAAGAGAGTATAACCTTGATACAATAAGTCTCTCTGACAAGCCGATCTCGGCCCCAGGGGGAAAGGTGATGACATTGTTCCCCGGTTTCCCGAATTAGACTTTGCGGAGTAAAATCCGCCCGTGTATTATACATCATATCTTGTCTAGAAGAAATTCCACTTCTTTCTTCTAGTTTTAAATAAAAAGGTCTTCAATCATATTCGTTTCGAAATCATGCAAGGAAATATACAGAGGGAATTAAAAAAAAGGAAACGTCTACTGGTCCTCAGCCCACGGCAAGCTGAAGGTACCAACCCAATCTTCGACCTCTTGGCGGAGCACAACAATGTCCGAGATATCCTCGCCCTCGCCCACGTACTCCAAGAAGGCCTTGACAGTATTCGGGTTCTTGACACCGCGGGACTGGGCCGATTCACGAGCAGCCTTGTCCAACTTCTGTGTGATGGTGACCGCACGATCGACGATATCGGCCACGCGGGTGAAGTCCTCGGGCTGGAAGCCACGGGAGGTCATGGCTGGGGTTCCCAGACGCAGACCGCCGGGCTTAAGTGCGGACTTGTCGCCGGGCACGGTGTTCTTGTTGCTGGCGACACCGCACAGCTCAAGAACGCGCTCAACGCGGGCACCGTCCAGGCCGCGGTTCTTCAGGTCCACTAGCACCAGGTGGTTATCGGTGCCACCGGACACAATGTTGTAGCCAAGTCCACCATTGCTGGTGGAATCACCTAGACGCTGAGCTAGGGCAGAGGCATTGAGAAGCACTGTCTTCTGGTAGGCCTCGAAGTCGGGCGTCTGAGCTTGCTTGAGGGCCACGGCCAGCGCGGTAATAGTGTGGTTGTGAGGACCACCCTGGTGGCCGGGGAAGACAGATGCGTTGATGGGGTTCTCGAGATCGTACATGACAGGGTTGCCCTTCTTGTCGGTATTGCGCACACCCTTGCGGTAGAAGATCATGGCGCCACGCGGGCCACGAAGAGACTTATGGGTGGTGGTGGTCACGACATCTGAGTAGGGGAAGGGAGATGGGAGCACGTCGGCAGCCACAAGACCCGAGATGTGAGCCATATCGGATAGCAAGTAGGCGCCCACGGAGTCGGCGATCGCGCGCATACGTGGGTAGTCAATCAGACGGCTGTAGGCCGAAGTACCCGCGATAATCAGCTTGGGCCGGTATAGGGTGGCTGACTTCTCCAATGCATCGTAGTCGATCAGGCCAGTCGACTCATCGAGGCGGTAGGGGAAGGTCTCGAAGTATTTGGAGATGGCGGAAATCTTCTTGGTAGGGGTCTGATAACCGTGGGACAGGTGGCCACCATGGGGAAGGTCCAGGCCCATAAGGCGGTCGTGGGTGTTGAGGAGGGCGGAATAGGCCATGAGATTAGCGGGTGAGCCCGACAGAGCTGGAGTAAGTTAGCTTCGCATATATCATGGCACCACGAGGACTGTATCATACGTTGAACATTAACTCCCCATTCCTCCGGGTTCAGACGGAAGGTCTCCAGGGCACGCTGCTGGCACAACCGCTCGGAGGCATCAATGTGTTCATTTCCTCCATAGTAACGGGCACCGGGATATCCCTCTGAATATTTGTCTGAATTGCGGTTAGGATGGTCTGTCGGGCAAGCAGAGGCGGTCACCTGGAGTACATACTTTGCATAACACTGCCAAGGGCATCGAGAACAGCTTGAGATGTGAAGTTCTCAGAGGGGATCAGGTTAATGAAGTGCTTTTGGCGTTTTTTCTCCTGGTGTGGTGTTAGCAGCTGGTCGGCCAATTGGTGAGCTCTCTATCAGCGATGACGCACCTTCTGCAGGATGTTATAAACGGCGGGGTCGGACTCCTCCAGAGAGGCCGCGAGCAGCTATTAAATGGTCAGTATGTATGTTCCGCTAGCCATTGAATCCATTCGGGTCACCAACCTTGTGCTGCGTATCGCGAGTGGACGCTACTCCCCGCGATTGGGGGGCCAATCTGGGCACGATAGCGCGAGCGGAGACGACGGCTGCCCGGGAGCTCCCAAGGGGAAGCAAGCGAGCAGCAGATCTACCACAACGAGACAAATACATGATGAAGCTGAAGAATGTCAATTCTCAAGCAGGGTATTATGTACTTAACCGATAGGAAAGCGACGGCTTTTAAACTGATGCTTGTCGGACGAACACTGGCATCTTTCCGTTGCCCGCGGAAAGCGGGAAGAATGTACTAGTCCCGTTTGGGCTCTCCGCCTGGTCCGTGCGCCAGCTGTTGATTTATCTTCGCTCGGCAAAATTTTTCCCTCCTTTTCTTCTTCACACAACTAAATCCAAGATGAAGAAACGGCGTTTTAATCTGTGTCAGCACTCGTCGGTGACGGCTGGACTTCGGTTTAGCTGGCGCTGGACGGGCGCTGCTGAAAGGCCCCACGCCTCTCAACCATCCTTTGAGGGGTCAGTACCATCGGATTGGAATTGTTGTGTTGGTTCATCTTCGAAGTCGGGATTGGCCTACTATGTTGGATCCGAATCTCTATGAACCCCTTCCACTGTCGCATTGCCGACACTCTAGTACAATGAGGACATGCAATTCTCGTATGCTCTGAGTGACTCTTGAGTACAATTAGCTTAATAGTATATAATTACTACTATTAGTGTTCACATGATTTGATCTTTTTTATCTTTTCCGTTCCTGTCCCGCATTTCTCTCTCGTATGTTGTACGCACTTGACCTCTGAGATGGGATACACTCCACATACGTTGTTCCGCAAGGGGTCAGGGGCATTGATACACAATCCGAAGAGCATACGACACATTGAGTCGTGTATGTACTATTATTGTAGGAAGTAATCATTGCAATGGATTTCACCAATCCAATATCGTATGGACTACTCCGTATTAAGGGGGACTACGATATGAATAGAACAACATATGTAGATTGACCTTGTTCGCCCCTACCCCGTGTCCTATCTTACATTGCTCATCACATTGCCATCAAGTATACTTCAATACATACTCACGCTGGCCGTCACATACATCCTCCAAACAAGATTCATAACCAATGCTAGCCCAGGGAAACAACGCATAGTCCTCATGAATAAAATCCTATTCCCACCCCTCAACTTACTTTCTGCAAAGGTTTCTGCTTCGCTTAGCGTAGTATGCGGCAAGCCTATTGCCAGCCGTTCTACGGAGTATCTACTAGCTGCATCATAAAAAGCATACCAAGTTTAAGCAAGAGCTCATCTTGCGTGAGCATCCTTTACCGACAGCAATATCTATGGCTTCCGCGGCATCTGGGCTTTCTGGGGAAACGTCCAGTACATGGTCCAAGACAAGTTTTGTCATTGCTTCACCTCCCATCACCGCCACTACAAGCAGGGGCATGCAACTCCAATAGCCAGCTTGGCTAGGGAGTTACAATGATACGCCTCTTTCCAGAGAATTTGGTCTGTTTCGGTGGAACCACTCTCGAGGGCCTTCTTGGTGACAAATGTGCTTGTGGGTGCTGTCACTGGTCGCCCTGCATCATCAGACACATGCTGAATTGTGGTAGTCTCATCAGTTAATAAATCCCAGTTGAGTTCTTTTCTAGCTTTTGCTGCTGGTAGCAATAGATCTGTGCCCCGGTCAAGCAGAAGGCGGAAGATCTCCGGATAGGTTTCAGCGAAATAGATGCACGGCAGATCACCGATCTCCTTTTCTTCGTAATGCCATCGTCCTATGCCATTTGGTTCTGCACCGTGGTTGAGAAGAAGGTCCACAATGTCCAGTTGCCCTGATGCAACTGCATGGAGAAGTGGGAACGGTTCTTCGTATCTCGAGGAGGATTGTAGCTTGCATTATAGGAAAGCAGTAGCTTCACAGTGATATAGTGGGCTCGACCAGCCGCAAGCGATATAGCCGGGAGATGCTCTCTGTGGAGGTTGGAAATTTCGATTGAACGGAAACGTCTATCGGCTCCCCTTGTATCTACCAGACAGCAGCGACTAGCAGAAGACATTCTTGGTTCTAGCCTCTCAATTTCATAATCTCCTCCAGATAGATGGATCCACGGAGGAGCCGAGCCACTGGGTAGTTTTCAAAAGTGACAGCATTCACCAATGGGAGGACATCGATGCCGGGCGGTTCCTCGGTCAAGAGATTCGCTCTATGTGCAAGTAGCAGTTTCACTATCTCCGGGTCGCGCTGGTGAGCGGCCCAAGTCAGGTATGACGAATCTGGCGGCTGTGTCTCGGTGACCACTCCATTTTCAAGCAGGAATCGCACCATATCGGTAGATCCTGCCCGGATCGCTGCCCCTAGAGCATCCTGCTCGGCAAGATCGATCGATTCAAGACCATAGCCATTCTCTACAAGAAGTCTGAGGGTTGTCGGGTATGAAGTGGGAAATGTGGTGAATAATCTCAGATGGCAGATCTAGAAGATGCATTTTTACAAAAGTCTGACAACCTTCTTGGAAACCCTTGGGATTTTGTTCAGCAGAGCGGTCAACGGGTCACGGCGAACCATGCATCATTCTTGCATAAGCCAGAGAAGTATATAACGTTGGAATTAATATAATCCATCTGATTCAGATGCTTTAATTTCTAATCTAAAGATAATCTAAAGATAATAAATTGTCATATAGAAGAGGATACACAACGCCTATTTTGGGCATCTATTGTGAGGTGACATCTAGGAAATGATCAACAGAGTAACATAAAAGACAATGCTCCAAAATGTAAAGCCATTTACACCATAATTCTTTCAAGAATACATTCAAGGTTAGACCTTATAGTTTCAAGAGAAGTTCTAAGAGATATAAAAAGATATAAAAGATATAAAACTTGATATATATAAGCCGATCAAAGAACCTAGAACAAAATGGCCAATGCCCAGAGAAGTTCAACCCTAGTAGTCCACCTAATTGGGAAACGATCCACCGGGCCACGCACCTCGAACCGGTTCTTGAGGGCGTGCGCTTAAGGGAAATGAGGGCGCTAGGGAGAAGTGACTTTGATCTTCATAGTAATTTAGTAGCACCCTCAAGTACCTTTTTCAAATTACCCAGATCCACCATTGTTTATTTATCTTTCCCCTTCTATTACCACTTCCCTGTCTCTGCCCCTTTTCCCGTTTTTTTTTTTTTTTTTTTTTTTTTTGCCTTGGGCCCTGACCTTAGTGGCACGGGTACCTGAATCTCATTTAATATTACAATTGGTTATAAACTCCCCTGGTCCCCCCTTCTTCTTCCCTCTTCACCCACGCTTACATTCTCTAAATCCCCGGTTTTTTCAACCGATTACATTCTTTTAACCCCTGTCATTCATTCTACATATAACCTTCTATCTGAACATTTTTGGAACCATTCCGATCAACTCTTATCACAATGCGTTTCTCTATTGCTGCTCTCGCTCTCGCCGCCGGTGCCATGGCCAATGTTGTCACCGAGACTGTCACCCAGTTCACCACCTACTGCCCTGAGGCTACCTCTATTGTGCACGGAGGCCACACCTACAGCATCTCCACTGTATGTTTTACCTTGACCCAAGTCTGCCGACGCATATTAATAGCGTTCTAGCCCGGCGTCATCACCATGACCCACGGTCCCTTCACCGTCACTCGTCCCATTGTGACCTCCACCGTGACTGAGTGCAAGAGCTGGTAAGAATATCTTTCTCTCCAATCCAATCCAATCCAATATCCTAACATATTCAGCTCTTCCTCCATCCCTGCTTCCTCCACTCCCGTGGTCGCCAGCACCCCCCTTATCTCCGTCCCCGGCGGTGTCACCTCCACCCCCTGGTCCCCGGCTCCGCCTCCACTGGCGTGCCCAGCGGCCCCAGCGGTCCCTCCAGCGCCACCCCCTCCCAGCCCGCCTTCAACGCCGGTGCCATCAACGCCGCTACCGGTGCTGGTGCCGGTCTGGTTGCTGTCTTCGGTGCCGTTGCCCTCTTGCTGTAAAGCAGTTGAGTGTGTCGATGTCATGAAGAGATAGTGTTGTGACTGGTGTTATCTTGATATCTGCACGATGCTATCGGTTTATGGCTACTGGTTCTTCAGGTGTATATGTTTTGTCTACGTTTTAGATAATACATAATGAGCCCTCTTGGGTTAACTTTTTTCATGTCTGCCTTTCTTGTGGAGCTTATCTTTTGTTGGTTTTTGCGCATTATTCTCCTGGACATAACGCTTTTTATTATATTCACATCTGACTTCGATCAAGAATGATCTCTTACTTTCTACTCTTGCATTGGACTTGGATATTTTGCCCGTATTTGTTCTAATGTAGAGCTATCTATAGATACATGTAGTAATTTACTTCTGCATTCTACGCGATCTCAACTATCACTAATCATCTTCAAACCTCGTCTTGATTAGGGCACATGCATCTGATACTATACAAGTTTGATATCGGAAGGCTTGTCGCCAGAACTTCCAGTTATTTGTCGTTCTTACTTCTCATTTGTCGTTCACAGCTAATCTATAAATTGATGCCGATACTCTGTCTGCACAACTACTCATCATCCCTCTCCATCTCTGAATCTTCCATTATCTCCTCTGCCCAATAGAAACCTTTGATGTCTATCTCTGTTTCATCACCAATCTGACTAAAATGATTCCAGCTATTCAAAAGGAAAAGATCCAGGCTTCAGCCTACCTCGAAGATCCCACACATCCTAAACAGGTGAAGGTCTGGTTTCGCGACTTATATCACTTAGATCACTTAGACCACGAGTTTAATGGCCCTGATACTATCTATATCGAATACACAAGCACAGCTTATAGATGATAACGAAAGATGCTGACATACATTTGCACTATAGGACCTCCTCGATGGCAGCTCTTCAGATTCGATTGAAACAGTTGCGACAAAAAAGCGCAAGAGGGGAGATCGATCTGGGGCCAAGCACCTGAGGATGAGTTCCTCAAAGGAGACCCTGACCCTGGGATCGATTCACTCCAGGACCCCCAAGACTTCTAAGTCTTCGCGCAAGAGCTCGCACAAGAGAGATGGCGGTGTGACCAAGTCTGAAGTCTGATATGCCGCGTGAAATGCTACGGTCCACACCTCCCGAGTCTACTCTACGTGAACTCACGCCCAAGCCGTCGGACCAGCAGATCTCCAACGAAGCTCCTTCTGCAAAGCCCAAGAACCGGTTTGAACTCCCAGGCTTCCCACCTTCAGAGTTCATCGTCCCCCGCGATTTGGAGTTGGGTTTGGGCATATTCGACTGCCCCCCCGAGAGAGAGACTTCATACGAGCCAGTCTCCGAATACCTTCCCGAGCAGCATGACGAAGTCCCCACTCCGTACACCCCGGTTTTGCGCGGTGTGTCGCAGTACAACGAGCGGATCCGGAGCCAGTGCGGGGGCACGTGTGAGAACTGGTTGGCGCGCCAGATGTATGATGAACTAGATGATATCTCTACTCGCATTGAAGACATTATGCGCGGGATTAGGGTGATGCTGGAGCAGAAGGGCGCGATGGATGATTGTGAGGACTTTGATGGTTTCGATCATCATTTTGGTGATTACCATTTTGAGGAGTCCCCTGGTGTTTTCGAGGGTGGTCCTGAAAACCCATTGGAATTGAGTGATGGGGAAAACAATGCACTTTTTGTGGCTGATGAGCGCGCTCGCCCTAGCGAGTCTGGTGTCGTGTCTGGGGATGAATAGATCGGCTTGTCCACCTTTTTACTTAACTACAATAGTTTACTACACACATTAAAATATTTTATCTTTGGTATTCGTTGGCTTCATCTCCATTAGCTGTATCGGCTATATATGTTAGAAAGGACATGATTATAGTTAGATTTATTTTCAACTTCAAACGATCAGACAATTTTACTTCCGTCATTTCAATTGATTTTCCCTCCAAGCGAAATAAAATCTTGATGGATAGTCCTAAATCTCATACATATTCGGTCCTTACTTGGATCTCAAGTAGCAATAGTATCTCGTAGCAACGTAGCTCATTTCCGCATTCACTTATCAAAGAAGAGGCATCGTCACCTGATTTGTGTAATCAACATTCTCTTTCACACTTTCGATGCGTTCATGACAAGTGCCAAAAATCCTATCCCAAAGACGAGTCTGCTTGCCATAGTTATGGCTCTTTCTCCATCCATAGCGGTGATGTAGATCGTGATCTTCAATCACTAACTCAGCATCAAAGATTTCCAGCAGCCAATTTACAGTAGAGGGTGCACCACCATGAAGTCGAAGCCCACTGTGTCCAATGAACTCCGAGAACGCAATATATTGAAAGCAAATCCACCATTCATAGAAACCCATAGGTAGCCCAATAATTTTCAACGTGGTATACGCAAGAAGCGGAATACCCGTAATATCCATAAATTCCTGCTCATGGTCGGCGTATGCAGAAAGCAAAGGATTGGGATGTTTCGTCAGATGGTGTCTACGGTGGAACTTCCACAAAGGGCCCACCGAGTGCATCATACGGTGATACCAGTAGAACCAGAAGTCGACCGTGATACTGTATAGGCCGATCTCCAAAGGAAGCCACTTCCATTCCAGTGATGCAGGTGTCTCCCCCGACTGGTAGGTCAGAAATACAGCCATCACCATACGTAACGTTGAGGTGGATATCAGCTCCCGTATCACCTTGCCAACGCCAACGTCTGGGATCTCATCCCGAGGATGCTTGTCGCCATCCAAGAAGCCATAGACTTGACCTAGGCGGCGCATGATGTGCATTTCGTGAATGCCGTTCAGCTTGAACGCACTAGAATATAACGCAAAGGCTGCAATCAGGTGCATGTTTTGGGCTGTGTAGGCTGTGTAGGCGTGGTGTAGTGCGAGCGGGATCGCAGCGTGTAGTAAAATCCACAAGTGGACCGTCCATTCTCGTATGGCGGGGATTTTCTCTTTCTTGGAGAAGATTGGAACTTCGGTGTCAAAATCAATGAGATGCAGGCCAAGAAGTTCAATCATCCAGTGAGACAAGTTCCATTGAGATCGATCATGGCGCCAGGTAGATACCATGGAGTCTGCCGGATTGCCCTTGATGGTCGTTTGGGTAGACATTCTTACTTGGGTTTGAATTTCACCCGTAGAAAAGATAATATTGGACTATAGGTAGATCTATATATGAATTCTTACATATATTCGTTCAAAGTTGTCTGGTATAGCCATGTGAAGTCATGATCGACACCCCTCAAACAGGAGACGTTGGCCCAGAACTCTATAAAAAAAAATCCAATCAATCAAGACATATCCAGGCGTTGAGGACCCCCTAAAAAGGAATGGAGTGCGAGGAGCTTGGATCTTGTAGCGCGGGGCATCAGGACCTGTGATTGAGTCTGCCTCGGCCCCGGATATCTACGGAGAAGATGGGTTTCCTTTATCCGGGGAGAATATCTTTCATTTAGTTGCTTTCTTGTCGGATCTCAATTAATGGATGTCCCATTATGGGACAGTATATCCACGAGTATTTTCGTAAAATTCTATATACATGAATAGCCGAGACCGTGAGCGACAAAAATCATATTTATATAAGATCTATATAATTTTTGAAATATCCCTCACGCCAGAATTTTGTCGGCGCTATCATTGTCCCCGCGATATACATGCGTGCGTTCTTCATCCATATTGAACGATCGGTGGACGGAGATAAATGGATCGGCATTCTTGTCATGGGTGCTGTGCAGCTGGTACGAAAGCTACCCTCCAATATTCTTGGGTTGGAACCTGTTTACAGGGGTATCCTCTATGAGTTTCGTAGTACCGTGCGAGCGTGCCGAGAATAGTGAAAGCCGTGGTAGATATATCGCAATCAGGCGTTTGAACTGCATTGCGCAGGCACAGATGATGCTAAGGTTGACCTCGACAAGGGACCATACCTCTAGGATGGCTTCGGTATAGGTTGTGTCGGCAGTTTCGCCGAGGAGCAAAACGTATGGTAGGCGAGCTATTGAGCAGATGATGACACTGTGGGATGGGGATTAGCGACGATTGTTTCTAGAGAAACGATAGAAGAGCACAGATGGTGTAAAAGGCGAGGGAAACCTTATCCAGATCCCAGAGCCAACAGGCAGCCGACCGTGACTTTTTGTTTCGTTGAAAAATGGAGACCGTGGATCGTCGGGATTGGGATGGCGATCACAGCCAAATCAGAGGCAATGTTCAGAACTGCCTGAGATAGGGCAACGTTCTCTAAACACGCTGTATTTCCTGCATGGAGAGGATTACACGGTCCTCCGGTGATGATGCCTAAGGTCAGGGTGTATGCAAAGATCGCCACTGCAACAGTCACGACGAGGTAGCGGTACATCTTTGCGGGATTGATTTGATATAAGACAGAAAGAATGGCCATCTTGGTGATGCATGGACATATCAAATAGGTCAAGGTATTGATGAGCAAGCCCTGGCTCTTGTTAGTGTGCTCCAAAATATGCAAAGAGGTCTCACTTTATTGAACTCCATGAGATCTTCCAAGTTAGCATTCCACATGTGTTTTCCCCAACCATAGTTCATCACTATTTTGAGTCAGGTTATAGCTTAAACCAAATATCCAACAGTTAACCATAGTCACAAAATAAACCAGTGCAATGCCATAGGAAATCGTGATAGTGACTAGTGTAGTGTAAGTGTCTAGCAGAGTTTCAAAAAGGTTCGTATCATACTCAAGTCTATCTCAATCTTCTTGATCAGCATGAAATCCTGGAAACAGCGAAGGGCAAGGAAAATTGTGGCGATGAGATAGGTGATTCCAAAGGGGATGACAGTCCCTGTTTGCAACGAGTTATAGGGCCTATGGAAATGCGATTCTTGGCCGTCCGGCGGCGGAATTCCTGGGGTTGTAGCCAGATCCATTATATCTGACTCCTGAGTTAATTCAATTCATATTGATCTAAGGCTCTGCTTCTATATTGTACAACCCCCGTCACGCGGGCTAGATCCTTGTCCATCTTAGCCAAAGGGATTCAGAACGGCCGCAAAAATAATCATAACCAGTAACATTGAAGGTGCTTGAAACTTAAGTGGGGAACCGTTTGTCCTAGCGCGTCCTGCTAGTAGAGCTAACTGCCGTAGCCTTCAGAAGAAACCCCCCGCGCTATGTTTTTGACAGCAATTGGGAATAGGGGTTGCCAGATAAATAACGCATGTGATATTCTTTTGGGGCAGTCTGGTTCCTGTCCGTTATAGACCAATTCGCACCATGAGATTGCCATTTGGGCGTCAGCCCACCATGGAGCCAATTCCAGGAGATCGAGTGATGCCACTCCATTTCTTCGAGGATAGTTTGCTTGTTCAGGGTAACAACATGGCCTCTCATAGACTGCTTGAATGCCTGGGTATGCTCTCTCATACTAGGGTCCTCTTGTCGGTCGTTATGCTGGTTGGCATAACTAGTATCCTCATATCCACTGTCGTAGTCGCAGTCTTCATCTTGCAGTTCCTGGGTGTCCTCGAATTCATAGCTGGTTCCTTCGTGATCAAACCAAAGACAGAGCTTTCCATCGCTAGTGACGACAGGCTCGGTGGACCCATGGAGTGCATTGGGGATGTTGTTATGGAGGTCATTCTGCTGGTATACGGTCTGGTTGACGCTTTGGTCCATGGATTCGTCGATGCTTTGATTGGCTCTAGATATTTCACCGAAGACATGATCTCGGGTCGGAAATAACAACACCATCGGGTTGAGAGTCTCTGGGGCAGACAATGTGTGACGAAGCATTGGCGTGGCGGGTTCATCCTTAGAGAATGAACTGTCAGCTTGCGATCTCAGATTGGATGTGTCCAGGATCAGCTAACTGATACAACACTCCGCTCGCTGTCGGGCCCCAAAGAGCTCCAGTGTGACGTGGTAGTGTCGTCCTCCGTCTTCTCGCGGAGTTGGAATCGCAATGTTTCGGCTGCAAATTTGATTTTCGTAAGAATCTCCTTCCACTTGCCATCAGTCTCAAATGCGGTGTTTAAATGCACATGGGACCAAACTGGATCCCGTATATTCTTCATCCAAACCCACTGAGTGTTGAGGGTGGCAAATGGAACAAAGCCTTGGATACCGCGCTCGTTTAGATGGCCTCTAAACATGTAGGAGAATATCTCCTCGGTTTCCTTCTTGTCGCACATAAAGAATCGATACAAACAGCACAATACCTGTCGCTTGTATTGATCCCATCGAAGCGTGGGTCTCTTTGGAAATTTGGTGGACTCCATTTTGAGTAGATGGGGGAGTTAAGATATAGCAAGCACTGAGAGGTGACGGTAGAAGAAAGCGAAATGAGCAGAAGATTGGAACAGCTTGGAGCTGGGACATAATCAGATGGCAAACACGTCGAGTCGAATCGGGAAGTGATGGTAACAAGCACTTAAACTAGTTTCTATAGCCAAAATAGAAGATTTGGCTTAGAATTCTCTCTTTTCTTTGATCTTGTTCTTTAGAAGCCCAGATTGAAGGCTGAAGTCTCAATTTCTGTTCCGAGTGAAAATACAATGCTTTCAAGTCAAGCTGTAATATCTCAAATATAAAAATAGCTCGAAAACTTCAAGTTGCACTTCAAAAGAATAAATTGCTAAACCCCAACCTATTCTGTTAGCTCAAAGCCATGCGTACTTCTGGTGCCCCCATGAAGCTGAAATACCAGGTTGCCTTGCCGTGCTCGATGCGACAATTTTGGTCATAGCCATCTCTCTCAAATCCACGATTCCAGTAATCTGAATCTTCCCGGGGAACCTGCTTCATGCAGTCCAAGCATAGGCCATCAAAGAGCCCGAGAATTCCCTTGCGGGCATCCCTAATCACAACATCCCAGGTAATCGAGCATCCACACTTCGGGGAGCATTTGCAGCGGCATGGCTTCACATTCAGCTTTCGAATGTGAGCCTGGTCAAATAGCTCGAGTTTGTCGGTAATCTCTTTGGTGCTGCTCTTGTAGAATGTGTCCCCACATGTTCTGATTCCAATCATATCGAGTTCCTTTAGATAGGTATAGATTGCGCTCTCGTTGCAGTAACACGGTCTCTGTTCGAAGGCTTTACTGACTTTTTTAATGATCTGGTGCTGAGGGGCCACGCGGAGCTTTCCCCTGACTGCATAGAGTTGCTCTACATGGATATCAGAATGATTAGGCTTCAAACCCTTCGCACTGGAGATATTGTAGGTAATGAGACTGAAGTATGGCAAATTTGGGGCTAAGACATCCTCGGTTAAATTTGACCGGCTTCTACTCTTTGATTGGAGAGGACATGTTTGTGTTGTAAACCAGAAACTTGGTCAACCGTTTGAAAACTTCCGCGCCATCAAAAAAGTGACAAGGGAACAGAAGCTGGCGGTTGAACATCACGTCATTCCACTTCACAGGCTGGTAAGACCGCAGAATTTGAGCTTTCACCCGAACATCTTCTAGCAGTAGCCCTGATCAGGTCACGTTCACTTGGGATCCAAAGCTCTTTATATCAGATCTCTATTCATCGAACACCCTTATCGCTTTGCTATCCTTCCGGAAAACTTCTATTGGCCATGGTTCTCATCCAGCACCGACTCCCACCTACTTTCAAATATTTGAAGTTGAGAGACTTGGAAAATACCCGTATGGTGGATATTATCTTCTGAGAGATGTTTGTTCGATACTAAGTCGCCAACCTCTACCAAGACTGAACTACCTACCAGTCTAATACACATGATGCCCTCAAGGTTGGAACGGAGCCATCCACTTCCAATACCCTAATAACTAACTGTTTACATTGTATAATCCTCTCCAATGTTATATCAAACACATACGACCATAGGGTGTGGAAAACAGGGCTTCCCGTCCGCTCAGCCGTACTTAAGCCACACGCCGGTGAGTTAGTAGTTGGGTGGGTGACCACCAGCGAATCCTCACTGTTGTATGTTTTTGTCTTTTTTTGGACTCAATAGATCATTGTCCTCAAATTGTCCGATCTACCCTGTCATGCCAGCTCGGCAGAGAACATGTACAATGCACAATGCACATGCATGCACGCCACCAATTTAGAATACAGTATTATTTCGACTGCATACAGTCAATAAAATACAAAGTAAGGTGAGAGGTACATACCATTAATCAATTGATATTATGTATTGGTATTGGTATTACTGGCAAAAAAAAAAAAAAAGCAAAGTGGTGTGCATAGTCCATGCTTTGTACCAGTTCTCGGCCGCTCTGGCATAGCAGGGTAGAAGCTTGACCACGAGCTCGATAGCAGTTTTGGCGGCATTTACCGCAGGTTTTTGGGTTCCATCGCGCCAATGTACAAGCCCTTTTAAGTACGAGCTTATGTCTCCATTTTAAATAGTTTTATGAACTTGATATATCCTACTCTAACACACTTATAATATCTAAATTGCTACATCCCGTTGGGGAAGTCTAGCGCTACTATAAAACCCACTTTGTTATCATCTTTCTATTGGTCTTTTTAGAGTTCTTTCCTAGGGTATTTGGGAATATAACAGCTAACTATGCCCTATGCGACTCGAATAGATCTCGGCTCTCTTGGACCAGTCATCTATACTGGCAAGAAGTTCGAAATCGATCTCTTTAAAAATGACATCCTGACTGATGGTCGACTACCTGGCCGGAGAGGGAGTTCCTTCCTGGCACTGACAACGTTTGGCTTGATTCGATTATTGAAGATTTCTGGGTCGAGGGAGGATTTTCACATGCCCATAGCTTGGTACAAACACTGGATTCAACCATGCCTCTGGACGACAATGGGTTGAATAGTCGCTCATCTCTATCCAAGATGACCTGCAGAATACCACCTATCAGTTAGAGGCCGTACTGGAGCACCATAAATGGATTTGGGCAGAGAGATGGTTTGCTGGCTGAGCGGTTAGTCCAGTGACTTAGGATTATACATGTATAGTTTAGTTCCTGGGAGTTCGCCTCGTGAATACAATTCTCTTCCCTCTCTTTGGATTCTGGCTACCCGTGCCAAGCGCATCACCCCTCGCGTAATATTCACGGGTGTTCGGGTGCTGGCTGAAGTACGTACCCGCGAGGGGCGGTGCGCTTGGCAGCCATTGCTCTCTTTTTGTATCTTTGTCACAGGATCCGAAGCTACCGGAAATTGAAGGTCTTTCCGAAACAGATACTGACCTATCAAGCGAAGCATCTCCGCAGATCCTCTGCGGACTGTCGTGGGGTAATCCGGAGAAGCCCTATTACTCTCCCCCACAATCTCCGACTTCCTTGATTCATAAGTGGAAAGAAGTAAAAGATATCAAATGTACGTCTTTGATCTAAAATTTTCAAACCGAAGCCACCATGAGTCATACACTATCAACCAAAGAAGACCATGTGGATGTCCTCATTGTCGGTGCCGGGCCAGCTGGGCTCATGCTAGCCAACTGGCTAAGTCGCTGCAGAGTCAAGACCCGTATTGTTGACAAGCGCGGCTCCAAGGTACATTCTTGCACAAATATAAGAACTACCACATCATATACTGACTCCAGGGCAGGTCTTCAACGGCCAGGCGGACGGCCTGCAATGTCGCACTCTGGAGATCTTCGACTCTTTTGACTTTGCCCACCGGGCATGGCGCGAGGCAAACCATATGCTGGAGATCTGTCTTTGGAATCCTGATGAGAATGGCCATCTTCAACGAAGCGATCGCATTCCAGATACCATTCCTGGCATCAGTCGTTTCCAACAGGTCGTACTGCATCAGGGTCGCATCGAGCGGTTCTTCCTCGACTCAATCAAGGAACATAGTGACATCCGTGTTGAGCGTGGGGTGTTGCCCACATCTTTCAATTTCGACGAAGCCAAGGCTGGTGATTTTGAGGATTACCCTATCAGTGTTAAACTTAGTACCTTGTCCGAGGAAGAATCCACGCCTCAACAACAGCTGCAGCATCAAAGATCTTCTGATGGCCAGGAAACAGTGGTCGAGGATGGACTTTTCCGAAGTAACTTGGTTGCTGATGACACCGAGGACCTTATCCAGGCGACAGAGGCCAAAGGCAATCGAAAGTCCAATCAGGTGGAACATATCAAGGCTAAGTTTCTGGTCGGCTGTGACGGTGCCCACTCATGGGTGCGCCGTCAGGTCGGCTTTAACTTGGAAGGTGGTTCAACCGACTATATCTGGGGTGTGCTCGACATTGTCCCCATCACGGATTTCCCAGATATCCGCCATCGGTGCGCCATTCACTCCGCGGATGCGGGTAGTTTGATGGTAATTCCTCGTGAAAATAAACTTGTTCGACTCTACATCCAGCTCCAGGCGACGGATTGCCAGAAGAATGGCTCCAAAGCTGACCGATCCTGGATCACTCCCGAGATCATCCTGAAATCTGCCCAGCGTATCGTGCACCCGTATAAGCTCGATTACGCGTATTGCGACTGGTGGACTGCGTACCAGATTGGACAGCGAGTGAGTAACAAATTTTCGCAAAGCGAGCGCGTCTTCCTGGCAGGTGATGCTGTCCATACGCACTCTCCCAAGGCTGGACAGGGTATGAATGTCAGTATGCAGGATAGTAAGTTTTCGAAGCCTGTCGTGCTTGGAATTAACACTCACATTTTAAATAGCATATAACCTGGGATGGAAGCTCGCCCATGTGATAAACGGTCTCAGTGAACCCTCAATTCTCCAAACCTATGAGTCTGAGAGAAGACAGATTGCGCAGGACCTGATCGCTTTCGATCACCGCTTCTCACGACTTTTCTCCGGGCGTCCGGCCAAGGATATTATGGATGAAGAGGGAGTCAGTATGGAAGAATTCAAAAGCGCATTTGAAAAAGGAAACGAGTTTGCAAGCGGCATAGGTGAGTTTCTTACATTACTTGAGGAGTTTATAGTGCTAACCTTCATTTTCGTAGCTGTCGACTATGCTACCAGTATTCTTGTTGCAAAGGAGACGGATGTCGCAGAACAAGACAAGGACACGATCATCAGCAAGCCACAGCTGGCTGTGAATATTGATATCGGCAAACGTATGCCTAGCTTCAAAGTTTTGAATCATGCCGATGCACGCCCATGGCATCTGCAGGAGCTATTGAAAAGCAATGGGCGCTGGCGAGTGATAGTTTTCCCTGGACGACTTACCGAGTCACAGAATATGGAACGCTTTGAGAGGTTAGGCGCTGCTTTGGGAGGGCCAGACTCTTTCATTCGCCAGTTCACACCACCAGATAAGTCTATCGATAGCGTGATAGAGGTGTTGACCGTTCACTCCGGATCACGAACAAAAGTTGAACTTCTTGATCTTCCGGAAGCGTTTCACCCCCACCACGGTGACATGGGATGGGATTATTGGAAAGTCTTCGTCGACGAGGAGTCTTACCATGAGGGACATGGGCAAGCTTATGAAAATTACGGCATTGATCCAAACCACGGTGTCAGTGTCATTATCCGCCCTGACCAGTATGTTAGTTGGGTCGGGGAGGTCGATGACTACGAGCAGATGTCGCGATTCTTCACGAGCTTCATGAAGCAACAGGCGGGAAACTAGGGGATCAGAATTACGGGGCCTCTACAACATGTTACTATATAATACTTGCCCATACAATGGAAATGGTACATATAGCAGCGGCCTATAGGCCAAATTCTCATGTTAAATGCAACATTCTATTCCATACAGCTGCTAGAAGCTAAGCCAAATCAAATCAACAGAACAACCCACAAGCACCAGCAGTCAAAGTGCCAAATACACCAACCGGCGCCATGCCCTGGGCATAACCCAAAGCAAGCATCCCAGTAGTAACCTCAGTACAGCCAACATCACAAAACCAACTTCCTTTACACCTGACCTCGAAAGAAAGCTGCGACTGGATGGAATTGTCATGAGTAATAACAATCTGCCCACTTCTTGGATACTTATACCCAATCCAATATGTTGGAACTCCCCACTGCTGCGAGTACGTAGTCTTCTCATACCAAGACTTCGAAACCTGTGGACCGGCAGTACCATGCAAGAACCTAGCAACAGCGTCACTGCGAGACTTTGCATCGTTCTTCTCCCCCGCAAACATACAATTGTAAGATATGGTGCAGGAGTCAGAAATAGCAAAGTCTGTTTTCCGGCATCCGTTTCCTTCAATAGCATCATAAACGCTATGAAAGGCATCGCTCGGACTCATAAGTCTCAGCTTATCCTTATACAGATTGGAATTGTCCACATAGATTGCATCAGATGAGAGAGTCAGTGACGACGTCGTCTTTCCCGCTGGAGGAGCTGGCGCCGGAGCAGGACCCGGTCGAGTCTGGGTCTTGTGGTCGCAGATATACGCAGACGCGCATTCCGTGCCATCGTCGAGAATGTAGATACCGCGCTCGTGATGAGCACGACATCCAAACCCATGAGATTCAAAGGTATGTCCTGCGAACCCGGCCAGTCGATCGTTTGAATCGGGGATTGAGGGGTCAATCGTGATGGTGAACTCGTCGCCGTTGGGCATCTTGCGCTTCAATCCCTTTGTTCGCCAGGGATAGGACCCGTCCCAGGGGACATCGGTCATCATGTCCGGTGTGACCCATTTCCCTCGTGTTCCTTGGAATGCCCATGGCGCATCGTGGTAATACATGATTTGGCGTGAGGTGGAATCGCCATTTGGTGGGTGGATACCACAGTCTGCTAGGACGACGCGTTCTTCTGGTCGATACTCGGCCAGGGCAAAGGAGGCGAGAGTGGTGATAGTGAGAAGAAGTGTATGCATGTTGGGAACTGGTTGATCTTTCGATGAACTTGGTTTCGTTTCGAATGCCTGTGGTGTGAAAGTCAGATCCAGGGTCATTGTCAAGGTATTTATAACGTAGAAAATGTCCTCAACATATCAAGAAACAAGCTGAACTATCGTGCCGGGCTGCAGTCTGCGATGTCAGGTTGTCTGCAAATCCAGCAAAGCATTCGCCCGTCGGCATCACCGAGGGAAATTATAGGAAATTATAGGCGGAGTTAGGAAAATCTTGGAATAAGATCAATTAACGTTCCACATGCAAGCCCAAATTATAAGCTGTTATATCAGCTCAGCTCGGAGATCCCGTCCTATACGGCTTTTCTGCGGGCGTGTCGTATTTTCTGCAGGTTTTCCGAGAAGATAAGTATCACACTGAGATTTTGGGGGTAAAACGCAAAGCCCAGGAAACCAGACACTTCAAAGTAGAAAATTGACGGTAAAATGCTTCTCGAGCTTTGGCACAGTCTTCCTTCATTTTTGTCGAGTTTTAAGGTGTTATCATATTTTTGGGTTGACTTTATATCCCTTAGAAGACTTGGTAGATAACCATGCTGCTCCTTCACGAAAGCCTCTTGATATCCTAGCTTCAAATTATTCACTATGATCACACCCAAGTATCTATGAATCTATCCATTATATCCATCTAAAGCTTCGCCTTCCCGACCCCATTCGCCTTCTTCTCCTCGAAATACTCCCTAACCCTCTCCCTCGCAACAGAGACAACCTCCGCATCCTCAACAGTAGGCGGGACACTAACCTCTGCCATATACTCCCCCTTTACCCCAAGCTCAACAAGCTCCCTCAGAACACGCCTAAGCGTCTTCCCACTCCGCGTCTTAGGAATCATCCCCCGACCCTGTATAATCCCACCCAGCGACGCAATCGCCCCAATCTGCTCGCGGACCAGCGCGTTAACCTCGGCAAATAACTGCGGGCTCGGTGTTGCTGGAAGGGGCCCGGTTTCTCCAGGGATTGCGTCGGCTTTGGGTTGGATGAATGCGAAGGGAAGGTGACCTTTTAGCGGATCGGGGATGCCGACGACGCTTGCTTCGCTGATCGATGGGTGTGAGAGGATTGCTTGTTCAATGGCTCCTGTGGAAAATGAGTCAGATCATGTATCCTCGAATCATGACGCTGGGAGGTGAAGAAAATAATGTTCTTACCGGTACTGAACCGATGCGCGGCAACATTTATGATATCGTCACTCCTCGACATAACATGCACGTATCCATCCTTATCAACCATCCCCGCGTCGCCGGTATCAACCCATTGACCATTAAAACGCTTAAGATATCCACGGTAAAACCGCTCCTCGTCCTCGAAGAGGGTCGTGAATGCCGATGGGGCGAGTGGTGGCGCCATAACGATATTACCCATTATGCCGCGTGCAACTTCACTACCTTCGTCATCGACAATGCGGACGTCAAACCCAGGCATTGGGAAGCCTGCTGAGCCGGGACGGGGCGTGAGGGGAGAGTGATCTGGGCCGGATGCCAGACTAGCAAGAGCAGCACTCCCATTTAACGCAACGCCCGTAATCGGGGAACCAGATTCCGATGACCACCAGTTATCAATAACAAGCGCGCCGTCCGCTGCATACTTACCAAGCAGATCTTGGTATGAGCGAACAATACTCGGCTCGCTACGCTCACCGGCGAGGAAAAGCGCACGGAGAGATTTCAATCCTCCACGCTTCCCAATCTCGCCGATAAGCTGGTCATTTGAGTCATCTTTCCGGATAGCTCGCATGGCAGTTGGAGCCGTGAAGAGCGCATTCACATTGTGTTTCTCCACGATGCGCCAGAATGTCCCTGCGTCCGGCGTGCCAACAGGCTTGCCTTCAAACAAAACCGTTGTGGCGCCGACTAGTAGCGGCGCATAGAGGATGTATGAGTGTCCGACAACCCAGCCTATGTCTGACGCGCAGAACATCGTATCACCGGGACCTTTTATCCCAAAGAGGGATTTTACAGAGAGTTCCAGACCGACGGCGTGCCCGCCTGCTTCGCGGAGGACGCCTTTGGGGAGGCCGGTTGTTCCTGTAGAGATATGTGAGTATGAACAGAACAGGTCTATTAAGAACCGGATTCGGTTCTGAGACCTACTCACCACTGGTATAAATAATATAAAGTGCGTCCGTACTCTTAACGGGAACAGGTCCAGCCTTAACCCCACGGAACCGTGCACTCTTAACGAGTCTCTGCCAATTACGTTGTCCGCCACGCTTATCGGGCTGATTCCAGCGCAGTTGGTCACGCTGCCAGACAATGACCCTGCTCGGCTTGAAGCTGCTTGCCTTGACGGCGCCCTCAACGAGCGGTCGGTAAGAAATGGGCCCCTTGGACCCCTCTATTCCACATGATGCTGTCATTATAGCTCTCGGGCGCGCGGCCTCGATACGTTGTGCTAGAGCTTGCGCGGCGAAGCCGCCGAAGACAGCGGCGTGAATTGCGCCTAAGCGGGTTATTGCTAGTGCGGCTATTAAGGCCGCGGGGATCATTGGCACTAGATGCGATGTGTGGTCAGTTTGGGATTCCTGTTTTGAATTCCCCAATGGTGATTTGCATACTGTAAATAATAACAACATCGCCCTTCCGTACCCCTTCCTCCCTCAGCACACCAGCAAGGACCTCAACCTCATCGAGTAGACGGGCATAAGTATACTTCTCCGTTACACCGGTAACTGGTGATTCCCATACAATTGCAACATTGTCGCCATGGCCTGCAAGCACATGTCGATCGACACAATTGTAGGTTGTGGAGATCTCGCCATCGGCAAACCACGACCAGCGCTCGTGCTCGGTTAGGGATGTCCGAGTTAAGGCACGTGAAGGCTTGCGGTGCCAATGGAGTCTGGCCGCGTGATAGGACCAGAATGTTTCTGGGTCATGAAGGGAATGTGAGTGGGTGGTCTGTTGGGGGTGGGACATGTTGGATAGAATGAGATTCGGATATAATAGAAAGATATTTGTGGAAGGTCTTTCTACCCGAGGTCTCTCAATAGAGAAACCCATTTGAGAGTTGACCGCAAGGTGAGTCTGTGCTTTTTTTCCCCGCACTTTTTTAGGTATACCCATTGTACTCCATACTCCGAATGTACCTATGAAATGTATTGTTCGAATGGAAAAGAAAACCTTTATTGTCTATATCGCATAAATGGCTAAAAAATGAATCAAATAAAAGCTCAGTCGTAGGGTATCATATCGAAATGCCTGCTAATGCGCGACTGCGATCTTCTGGCTTCGTCTGGGAATTTTTGGTTTTCGGGCTCCGAGACGTGTCCGAAAGATTCCGATCGCAAGATCGAAGAGACTATCGTCAAGGAGAAAAAAAAAGAGTAAGGGTAGGGGGAAATCTAGAGAGCCAATCTGCATGCCTCGGCGCATTCCCAAGGAGCAAAATCAAAAGAAAAAAAGAAAAAGAGGAAAGAGGAAAAACCTGTGCTCAAAGGCTTGCAGACACTGGCCTCAATCCCCACGCCGGTTCTCAAGGTCTTCAGAATGCAAACGTAAAAGATGTAGCATGGCAGGGACCACCGACGCCGAACGTAACCAAAAGACAGAACCCTCCAGATGCACCCGGGACCAAAAGAGAAAAAATAAAAAAATGAAACAGCCATTATTTCAGTGAGCAACAGATCCAACTCCGGACCCGATCACAAGAGAGTACACTGGAGTCGACTGCGATGTCGAGTCCGGTCAGGCCGGAAAGTCTTGGGGTATTCGGGGCCTGCGTCGCGATCGCGGTGACCGGATCCAAAGCCTGTCGGACGACGGTCTGCACGACCACCTGCCGCCTGTTGTCGCTGCTGACGCAGCATGCGGACCACGTCGTAAAAGGCCTTCTCCACGTTGATACAGTTCTTGGCGGAGGCTTCGACAAATTCACATCCCAGCTCCTTGGCCAATGCTTGGCCTTCCTGTGCTGAGACTGCGCGTTCGACGGCCTTGTCACTCTTGTTGCCGACTAGCATAACGGGGACGGGCATTGCGGGACCCGAGGATGCGCTCATGGGCGAGTTCAAATAGCTGGGGCCGGATGGTGAACCGGAGCTGGAGGATTCCTTGACCATCTTAATTTGATTGTAGAATTTTGTGATGCGGGAGAAGGAGGCGCGCGATGTGATGCTGTACACCAATACGAACCCCTCACCATCCCTTATCCACTGATCTCGTAGCGCGGTATATTCTTCCTGACCCGCTGTGTCCAGCACCTCGAGCATACACGACTGTTGATCGATCACGACTTGTTTGCGATATGAATCCTCGATAGTTGGATCGTATGTTTCGACAAAGTGATTAAGGCACAACTAGAAGGATCCACAGTTAGTGGGCATTTTTTTCTTCCCAAGAGTAGATTCACCAACCTGAATAGTAAGGGCGGTCTTTCCAACACCTCCATCTCCCAACACCACCAACTTGTACAAGGTCATTTTTCCAGCCATGATTGAGGGAAACTATAAAGTTAGCACCTTTTTTTCACATTAGTAAGAGAGAGAGAGAAACCATACCTATAAATTATTTCAGGGAAAAAGAGGGGGGAAAGAAAGCCCACGTTCCAGGTGGGGGAAAGAAAAAGAAAAACACCCCAATTGAAACGCAAAAAATATTAGAGAAAGGGAAAAGCAAAATGGGGGAAAAAAAGGATAGAGAGAGAGAGAGAGAGAGATGGGGGGGGGGGGGATTGTGCGAAGACCGGGGGGGGCTGGAACGAAGTGGAGAGGGGGGGTTCAAGGGAGAAGAGAGACTCTCTATAAAAAAAGAATCAAAGAGAAATTTACGGGAAAAAAAAATATATATATAAAGCTAAAGCTCAGTGACAGCTCCATGAAGTCATACATTTTCTATTATCCACATATTTAGTCTACTGTATCTTTCTTTTCTACTCAGAGAACAAGAAAAAGTCCAGGTCCCGATCCACTGTAAAAAGGAGAAACGCACAGACAGTGGATAATCCCGGATCTTGAAAGCTCATTTCCTAGAGCTCTTTTTCTTTAACCGAGAACTTGTTTAATTTATCTGTCCACGTGGAAAATATATTCCTATTATATACTCTTTATAGTTGACTCGGACTCTTATAGTGGAATGATACTGGATTTGGGACATCTAAAGGTTCAACGCCTCGAACTAGTTTAGTCTTGGCTTAGATTGGTTATCTATGTTATATCTTTGCATTTTTTTACCCTAGGCAATAGGTTCATTCGTACTCCGTATATAGCCTTTATATAAGTAAATATCAGCCCTTGGGTCAAAAATGTCCATGTAAAATCCCCATTAGATCATATTTACAAGGAAGTTCGGAAGGTGGATACTCTGTAGCTCAATTTTCTTTTTTCCCGCTTTGGTCAATTTCCATTGTAGGTAACTGGTTGGGCATCAAACCCAATAGGGTCCGGGATGTCTCCGTTTCCCGTCCCAGTTCTGTGGCCGCGGATATTTTGTCCTGGCCCATTTCTTTTTTCTTTTTTTCTTTTTTTCTTTTTTTCTTTTTTCTTTTTTTTTTTCTTTTCTTTTCTTTTCTTTTCTTTTCTTTTTTTTTCTTTTCTGTCTGTTTTCACCATATTTAAGCATTGTCCGATATCTAACTTCGTAGCCATCTAAAGAGAATTGTGTGTCTCACCCTTTCACGGAAAGGCCCGGCTCATTTGTTAAAGGGGCCCAATAGTGTGATTGCACCGTGATTGGCCGACGGCTCCTCCCGCTTGGCCGTTATATGGAGAATTCAGATTTAACGGTCTTACCCTACCGGATTCGATATGCACCTGCCTTATACTGACGTGCATGGTGCAACGGCTCTTGTTCATGTCCCGTGAATCCGTGATACCATTTTTGTGGATCAGGCTTGCGATCGACAGGTTCCCGGCAGATTGGCCCTTGGAAAATTGTTGGAAACGGGTAATGTCTCTCAAAATTATTCCTTATACCCTCAATCTTGGCTTGGGAGGGGATCTTCATTATTGATCCGAGTCCGGGATCCTGCAAGGGTCACATATGTACAAATACATACGGAGTACATAGTAAAAGATGTCGATCTTAATGTGCTAAGCACCCGAAATATCCCCGTTCTAAAGCGTGGAAATAAATCACTAGTGCAATATGTCAAAGCTCAATATGTAATAGATATATGATTTGTGGAGAAAGGGGATGCCATGTGGCCAAAATGCTTAAGCTGTAAGCATGATCTAGCATTATTGCAACGTGCCCTAGTCTTTAGGCTTGCACTAGAGCCTCGCTAGGATTGATTTAGAAGAGTAAAAAGTTCATATCTTTTACATTTAGGCTGCAATAGGGGCTACCGTTCTATGGAAACTGGATATGGCTTCGGGACAATCTATCTGTGACACGGCTGAAAGTGTAATTAGCCTAACTGTATTATCTTTCTAAGATTATTAGCCCTTTGCCTTGAATTCCACATTAATCACTGGTCAATCTATGCCAATGAGTGGGCTTCAGGTACGGAGTAGTGTGTAATCTAATATATAGCCATTTTTAGATTGTACCATCCAAAGGCCTCTATAATTCTTCGAACCACAACAGGATATGACCGGCGGTAGTATTTACATTATGCTCATTAAATACCTGAGAGAAAGGTGCATATTCAGAGACGCTGTTGGTGTTGGAATGATGCTGTAACAAAGCTTTCCCACTGGGAGGCTTCCAAGGTTGCCATGCCAGTGTCACCCAACAAGACCCATAGATATTGTTCAGTTTGTACATATGTACGAGATTGAACATGCGATATAAACAAATTTTGAAATCTGAAACAACATATAATCTCACTGATTCAGCAGAGATCACCCTCGCTGGATATCATTCAAATAAGCCGTCACCCTCTCCACCAAAATCCGCCGCGGCTCCGCTTGATCGCTATCACTCAGCGCATGCGATGCATTAGGAATGACCATACTCCTTGAGTCCCAGATCTGCCGCCCACTCCCATCAGCAGCAATCTGCCACCTCTTCAAGAGAGCCTCCTTATTAACCCACGGCGGCACCGACTGATCCCTCCCAGAGTACAGCACCAGCATTTTCTGCTTCAGCAAACCCCTCTCCCGAATCATTCCGAATGTCCCACGGAACTGCTCATCACTCAAATCAGAACTAAACAAATCATCCTCGGACGGATTTTCTGGACTATCTGGGCTAACCAGACTCAAAAACCGCCGACTGCTAACCGGGGCAGAGGGCGGATATCCAATCCGTGACGTTACAGACAACGGCACAACCGTATCAACAAGATCGTGATCCTCATACATTGCCCGCCGCGCATCAGCAACGGCTTTATTGTATATCGCACGCATCTTGGCCGGGCTATCGCGCTTGGTGCCACACTTCACGACCCACAGTATGCCCTCGCGGTCAGAAACAGGCGCTTGCATAATCGCCCCGTCAACTGGTACCCGCACAATCGGCTTCCAGTGGCGGTCGAAGACAGGGTGTGCCGGCCGTGGGTTGGGACAGTTGATATAGTGCATCACGTCCTGGCTGCCCGTCGAATGGCCCATGATGACCACTTTTCCGGCACCAAACTGTGGCTCCTTGTATTTACGGACGTATGAGACGCACTGCGATAGCTCGTCGATGTCTTTGCCCAATCTTCCCATGCCCCACCCCCCACCAGCGCAGGATAGGATTAGCGAGAATACACTCCATTGGGATGGGTCTAGCGCGCGGACTAGGTCGTTTAGATAGTCAACTGAGCCGAGGCTGTCGCCTAGCCCACCGACAAAGACGAGAGTATGTGGCTTGGGTACATGACTACGGGTGTATTCGAAGGCGACGAGGGTTTCTGTCTGTGAGGTGGCGTTAGCGGTGTGAATAGCTTGGGCTGCGGGGTGGGTGGTGTACGCAGTGGTGTAGCACACCGGGCTGGCCCTGAGCCAGTGAGGCGAGGAGCTTGATTTGCATTATGAATGTTGTATGCTGCAGGTGCTGGTATCCAGGTGCAGATTGGTTTGACAATGTGCGTCAGATCAGATAAGAGACCATCAGATAAGGAGCTGCAACGGACTTATTCCGATACCGGCTTCGCGAAGAGCGGTAATATGGGAGTTAGGGCTTGGATATATATTACTAGCGTGTATCATTCGTATTATATCAACATTTCCCGACATCGGAATTTGACTTTCATACTTCCCTCAACATTCCTCCCCCAAAACACGAGCAACTTCGCTCAATGCTAATTGGATCTCGGATTGGTGAAATAGCTCCTCTTATCCATGGTATTCAAGATGCACTGGAAGCTGCCCAGGCTGATGGAAACTATATGGTGGAAACTGGTGCAGTGGTTTAGCGAGCGACGACTCTCGCAGACGCCGCACGGTTTATCGACCAGCTCTTTGAAGGGCGCTCGGTCTTATCAGTGGTTCCAACGGAACATTTTTAAGCGGCCACCAAAAAGCAGCGAATTTTGGTCACACGAGCTCTCATCAAAGATCCTAAGATCTTGATCCTCGACAAAGCTGCCAGTTCCATCGACTCCAGGAGCGAGGAGGAAATCCTTGCAGCCATTGGGCGCTACTCTGATGGGAGAACCAACGTCTTTCTACCATCAAGAAAGATGATAACATTAGGGAATTGATAGTTATAACCGACCCCCTCCCCCGCCTGATTTTTCAGGTTAAATAGACCGCCTTACACACCGCCTTCCTATTTTATACACCGCCTTCGTAGCAAACTCCCTATGCAATAGTAGTAAGACAGGATATACCTACAATCTGTATGCAAACCCCATACAAAATTAAGTCACTTTTGTCATATTACACTATATATAGGACCAAATAAGTTGACAATTTAATTCTGGTTTACACCTATTAATCTGCCTTCTTCCACCCATTTATCTATCACTTTTACCATTCAAACCTATCATTTCCATCGTTAAAATCATTAATATAGCCTCCCTAGGTCTCGAATCCCTACTTTCTAATTCGGATTCCGGGCTAGAGATCGTTCCCGAGTCCATACCCACGGTACTAAGCTAATATAGCCAGCTAATCACCGAGTCTCCTATCACTAAGGGCACCGAGGAGAGTAATAATACCGAGACCGGAGGACGTGGACGTGGACGAAAACGCGCGCGGGGGTGTGCCTAAGAAGTGCCTAAGAACAAGCATAATCAATTTGTAGAGTAGATCAGTGCAGAAACCAATGAATTGAACGTTTTTTTCTGATTCAAATGGTGCATTTTTTACTATGTAAACCAGAATTACTATAGTGGTGGCAGTATATATGGCAGTATAAAAATGGAGCGGCAGGACATATGGCAGAATTATCGATCTCACCCGATTAGGAAGGCGGTACTGGAATTTCAGGCAGGAGGGGGGTGGTTATATCAATTCCCTAACATTATCGGGATGCCCGATGGAGTTATGGAAGAAGGGAATCATACCGAACTTCAAATAACCTAAATAAGCGGCCTAAGCTGGACGGGTGATCGCCAGGAGGATGCCTCCATCGACACAATAGAAAAGCCTTTGGAATCATCGCCCACTCTCAGCTCTGTTTACCAAGAAACCTACCAATAGGCCTCTCTGGTATGTGAGCATGGGGATGTGTCCTGCCATGCACCCCTATCTGCTAATTTCACTTATTGCCCTGATGAGGGCCAGTATCGTCAGCGCTGCCTTCTCAGCCGATGCAGTGGTCTTCGGCGACACCGTCGGCAACTTGACTCTGTTCGAGATGTCCGACTGTATCCGGTCTCGGTGTGATTTCTTTGGCTTCATATGCTTCGCTCTGGATGTTATCGGGTCCTTTAAAATTCCCAGCTGGGTGGGGTTTGGATGGGTGTCCGAGAAGTTAATCTACACTATTAGCGTGTTTCTATTCCGCTCGCTGTTTGAATAGGACTTGCGGTGGCACTAGTTTCACGATCAAAATTTTACAGTTAGATTGGATACATTACCAACGATGAAATCCTGATTGGAGGCGTCGCAGTGATCATACTTCCACTTCACTTGGCAAGATGGTTTCTTACACCGTCACTTATCCGGTCCTCCATTGCCGGGGGCGCAACAGAAAAACCTGACTAGCAACGCAATGGAGACACTTCGTGATGCGTGCTCGCATATGTCATACTATCTCATTCATTTTGGATAAAATTATGTCCTAATTTCGAGGTCTAGGCTCTGGGCTCGGTTCAACGTTCAAATTTCCATTGCTCATGTCTTTCCTTTGAGTCGGCTCACAAGGTAGCCATGGTGAACTGTTCTTGTGTACACTGCAGCCGGAGGATCAGGGACGGGCATCATCTCGACTGTGAGACGAAACGGCATCGGGCCAGGAGGACCCTGACAATAAAAACAGCAAAGGTCAGTATGCTGCATTTCTTTCGGTTTTGGGGTACACTTACAGGAAATCTGCAGTCCCACATAAAAGTCCTTTTGCTTTCTCTGAATGATATGAGCGTCGTTCCGAGGCTACCAGGGTAGGTATGCTGGTCAACTCACGATATGCGCTGCCGAAATATGTCTTTTGACCCGTCCCGGGCAAGGTCGCTGGTTTTTATCCTGGTTATCGAGAGATATGCTTTGGAAGACCGATAAGAGTCAGTCACTTGAAATATTACCTTGGGGTAGCTTGATTTGGAGTACTCACAATCACCACATGGTCCACCGGCCACTGGGTTGAGAAGTGCTGTCGGCATCCACACACTTTCTTGCGCTGGCTGCAGAGTTTATGCGTCAGTAAATATGAATCGGGGGACTTGGGGGAAACATGCTTACACCCAGTAGTTAGGTTGTACCTTGGGGTCGGCTCTCATCCAGTAGAATCCCCGGAGCGGGCTGCCGTCGTCAGTAATCCAAGGATTTGCAGGGAGCTGGTCCTGGGGCTTGGAGGCCATCCTGCCTGAAACAATATATTTCGTTAGCAACTGGGCTCTGATGCGATCTGGGGAGGATTTCAATATTCGAGGTGCGACATTCAGGTCCTCAGTATCAATCGAATCAACTAGGCAGATGGGATAATATACGCGCCTGATCTCGCAGTGCAGACTTGATGAGCGACGCAGAGATGATAATGCGATGGTCATGTGCTGAAGGTGTGAAAAGAAAACAAAGTCGAACTTCGAGGACCAAGCTGCCTGAGGTCAGACAACTGCGAGGCAAGAGCGAAACTTGACATTATCTTCTGGCCTGTGACCATCAACAATACCTCATACTCCATATCATCGAATGCCTTTAAGTGTTTATATTGCTCTGACGACAAAAAGAAATTGTCCATGGGCTCTGCTTACCAGCAGAGCCAACACTGCTCGCCTCCAAGGCCTTAGATTGTCTTCCTCGGGGCTACCTTACACATTCAGTGTGATGCAGATAATACATCCGATGCTATTGCTAATATCCAGTGATGGCCTTGCGGATCTTGAACACGATCCACACATGATGGATAAGGAGAATGCGAAGGCCGGACACATCAATATACAGCATCTTATATGTCGTTTCTTCAAACTTCTACTTTATTAGTAGAAAGGTGACAGCTTTATAGGTGTGCTTCTAGTAGAAGTTTATGCTCGAGAGCACCAAACATACTAACATATATATGTTCTCCGAATCCCCGTATCATAAAGGGAGATATTATGAGTTCAAGAATATATTATTTGAAAGACATAGAAATCCATTATCTTGACCCAAAATACTAAATAGAGAGATGTAATTGAAGTGAGAGAGCCATGGAGGTGCGGGGGGTTCAGTTCGATAGGAGATTATGCACTTCCCAACCAATAAGACACCTTCTCTTTTCAATCCTGTCCTTTCATGGGCTAGAGATGAACATATACGATCTTAATCTGACATGTACCTGGGGAAACATCTCAGTTTAACACTTTAATTGTCTCTTATTTACCCCCATCTGATCATTTACAATGAACAGTCATGCCCACGACCCCGAGCAAAATGAAGAGATCACCACGCGCGAAAATGAGGCCAGACCTATAATCAAACGTACCATTGCGGGCCAAGACAACGCCAAAACGCAGGCAGTCATTTCCGAGCTTGTTCACACAAGACGAGGGCTGAACCAACGTCATATTCAAATGATAGCCCTGGCTGGAACGATAGGTACTGGCCTCTTTCTAGCGACCGGAAAATCCCTAGCAAGGGGGGGACCCCTAAGCATGTTGCTTGCATATTGTATCGTGGGCATGCTCATCTGCTGTGTGGTTTTTTCCGTAGCTGAGCTTAGTGCTCTGGCACCTCTTTCTGGCGGTATCATACGACACGCAGAATGGTTTGTTGACCCTGCGTTGGCGTTTGCGCAAGGTTGGAATAGTGTTTATGCCAATGCTATCCTGTTGCCGGCTGAGATGGTGGCTTGTGCTGTCATTATCGACTTCTGGTCTCATATTAATCATGCCGTATGGATTAGTGCCCTGGGTGCGCTGCTGGTTATTAGCAATATGTTATTGGTCAGTATTTACGGCGAGCTGGAGTTTGTTTTTGCAATGTTAAAAATTGCTCTGATTGTTGGAGTGAATATCTTGGTGAGCAGATCTCGCGCAAAGAACCTTCCGGTTGGTTTTCTGACTGCCTTTTACATAGAGTATCTGCATCACATCTGGCGCAGGCCCACGGGGTTATCCCATGGGGTTTCGATTTTGGCAAGACCCTGGACCCTTTGTGCAGTTTCTTGGTATCGATGGCCCATGGGGACGGTTCCTCGGGTTTTGGCGTGTTCTGAGCAGTGCAGCTTATGCATTTTCCAACGTCGAAAACATATCGGTTGCAGCAGCCGAGACGCAGAGTCCTCGCCATAACATCCCAAAGGCCGCCAAACGTGTGTTCTGGAGAATCCTGATATTTTATCTCATCACCATTTTCATGATGGGCCTAATTGTCCCCTCCAACGATAAGGGCTTGATGTCAAATTCCGGGGATGCTGGAGCGTCTCCATTTGCGATAGCTGCCAGTAATGTTGGGATCAAAGTGGTCCCTTCGGTCATTAATGCTGTCGTTGTCACAAGTGCATGGAGCGCTGGTAACTCTGGTGAGTAGGGATTTCCTGTCGGCACCTGTACTTCTACTGACCCAAAGATAGCAATGCTCGTTGGAACCAGGACGCTATATGGTCTTGCTCAAGAGGGACATGCCCCAAAGCTATTCACTCGCATCAACCGCTTCGGGGTTCCCTGGATATCAGTTGCCGCAGTCGGATCTTTTCTTGCCTTGGGATATATGACGTTGTCATCCGCAGCTTCTCTTGTGTTTGATTGGCTCCAGCAGCTGGTCTCAGCTGCCTCATTGGTGCATTGGATTAATATAGAGGTGATCTACTTGAGGTTCTTCTACGGCTGCAAGAAGCAAAAGATCAACCGGGCTGAGCTTCCTTGGAAAAGCCCCTTTCAGCCTTACGCAGCATGGATTGCTTTGGCTTCGTTCAGTAGCATTCTACTTACTGGCGGATTTTACGTTTTTATTGAGGGTAACTGGAACCCTCAGACCTTTGTGTCGTCATACTTTAACATTCCTCTTATATTTGTCTTATATTTTGGGTACAAATTTTGGCGAAAGACCCGGGTTATTCCATTGGAAGAAATTCCAATCCGTGAATTCCTTCACATCGCTAATGAAAATCCAGAACCCATCCCATCTCCAGCTACCGGGTGGCGAAGATTAAACATCCTCTGGGCTTGATGTTAGGGGATTTGGAATGGGGGCCATGGGAGAAGGAAAAGACACGTTAGAAGCTCTATATGAATCCATGATATTTCAAATTGTTCGTTATCATTGTCCAAATACACACATTGTCCACCGGAACAAGTCTCAACCTATTCCTTCTGGGGTCTGACTATTAACTCCAGAGGGCAGACGGTTCTTACTCAATCCCAAATCGCCTAGCCACCTCTCGGAAGCCATCAGGCTCAAGACCAACCCACATATCCACCCAGTCCTCAGTCTTGGCCTTCGCAGCCTGTTCCTTTGACCACTCTTCCTCCTGCTCACGCTCAACATAGATAGTCTGAAATCCACAGCTCTTGGCAGCCTTCAAATCTTCCAGGTGCGCCGCAACTAGTCCGCACTGGCCTGGTTCCAGTCCAAACATCTTGGCAGCACCGTTATAAACCACCGGAGAAGGCTTGTAAGCCTTGAAATTCTCCCCGCTAACAAGATGCGTGAAAGGCAGTGATCCATGTCGCTGGAGATCCTGCAGTAAAGAGACATTCCCATTCGACAGGGTAGAAGTGGCGAACCGACGGTTCAACAACTCAACACCCTGGACACTATCCGGCCACGGGTTGAGCCGGTGCCAAGCGAAAGAGAGTTCCCACAACTTCTCGTCAGTAAACAGGCCGTCCAGACCACGCTGCCGCAAGAGGTCCTGAAGGGCACTGTAGTGGTGCTGATCGACTGACACAAACTCTTTGGATGGATCAAATGTACTGGTAAATTTGTTGTAGGACTCCCGCCATTCTGCAACCAATGCTAACCAGTTGTCCCAGGTCATGGCTGCAGCGCGGTCCTGGAGGTTGGCTGGGAGGTCCTTGCGATGGTTCACAGTATGCATGGCGGCTGCGCTCAGCTCTTCAGTAACGCATATACGCCATGACACTACTGTACCGAATACGTCAAAAAATAACATCTGGGGTGGGTGGTCTGTCGACATTGTGCTTTAGAAGTTATGATCTATTTCCCCGCACTTTCGAGATTATGTCTCCGAGATATTCACAAAGTTGAGATCCCAGCTAGATAGGTCAGAATGAAATCGACTTCATATATCAAACCCCGCAAATATGCTTAGTCAATTTTCCGAGGCCTCCCGGTCAAAGTACTTCACGCAGTCCAACATGTGCGTATGTGCGCATGTGAAATACGTCAACAATTCCAGATCTCCTTAGATCACTTGAAAAAGGGAAAGGGAATGTTTTTTTTTTTTTTTTTTTGGAAACTCGCATGACAGATAGTGATGCCTACGGGTAAGGGAGGAATTCAACATTCTGCCAGTTCTTTTCCGCCAACTCCAAATGTCAAAACAATTATGACTTTGGACAACTTCACAGCCCCGTCACTCCAAGCTGACACTAGCGGAAACAAAGAAAATATGAATTGTCGACCTGTCAACGGCCAAGTCAAAAGTACTACCGCGTGTCCCCTGAGGTGGGGCAAATGGCTGGCAATGGTTCGCCGAGATTCCTCCCAGTTGCTCCGATTTTCCCATGGCAAGGGGGATATGCAGAGTCTAGATATGGACTCCATCGGATACGAGAATAAAGCATTTATTGCCAATTGATTATGCGCCTCCAACTGCTACCGGCAGTTGCATCGACATAGAACTTCAATCCCACCATATGCCTTCTACTCCGTACAGGTACTCCCATACCGGATTTTACACAGATGTTCATATCGGCCGATGTGGATTCGAAGCTCTCTCGGTGGGGACCTTGAATGGGTCTGATTTTACCCATTTTTACCCCTGATCCGCAATATCCGATGATTTGACCTATTTGTCTCCCTGGCAGAGGCGTCAAATATACAACATATATATATATATATATATATATATGCACCCTGCAGATTCTGAAACCAGACCACAAGCCTCTCATGTGAAATTATTTACGGCGATCCTCGCCCAAACAAGTTACGAGTTTGCCATATTTAATTATATTCTCAAACACGCTAACAATCACTATTTTAGTGTCTTCGGAATCGACACTATTGGTTGCAAAGGCTCCTTTTTTATTTGCCTTGCACTTATCAAAAGAATAGGGGTGATCTTCCCTTGAGCTTCAAAGTGTCACGAACTACCCCAGGCAATTAATATATGAGATATTGAACTCATTTTTCCTTTTTCAGCTTTCGGCTTTCAGCTTTCGGCTTTCCGACTCTCTCCATTTTAATACGATTCTTTTTTTTTTTTTTTTTTACCTTTCTTTGTTTCTTTGTTCCGGAATAATCAAATTCTCCGGGGTCTTTGAGATATACAATACGAAGTACGCGGGAGTACTACGGAGTATATCTCGACGTTTTATAGCTATGTCTTAGCAGCAGTGGAGTCTTAATCCTGGCTAATCGGGTGGATTCTCTTCTTTCCCCATGTCTGCCCCCCCTAACGAACGCCCCTGGGACTTTTTTCCTTTTTTTTTTTTGCGCCAATTCTCCTCGCGTCCAGTTCCGATATGCCGCAAGGCTGATCTCTGAGTTCCCCCTAAAGTCTTTTCCATGTCTAAGCTCTCAGATCAATTGCGTAAACTGGATCTCATTCTCTAATCGTGATCAGCCCTCGCATCCTTCGGACTGATCGATTTTCCCTCCCGGGATCGGCCATACCTCCCGGGCTCTTGTCTCTTAAGCTAAATCGAGATCTGTTAGTCACTATACGGAGTACTCCGTAAGTCGAGGGTCCCACTGCATGTCCAAATCTCGGCCGCTAAGCGTACAGCCCACACATCTTTGTAACTGTGGCTGACCTCTCCGTTACCAAGTTCCAGGTCTTTGAATATCCCCCTCCATCCTGCGTTCGACCAGTCGTTTGCAGGTGAAATCTTGTCTCCGGAAATCAGCTCTTCAAACAGTTAATAGTCGGATGGTGGAACTACGGTAGTCTTTTGATGGGATCCAGTGCGTGACGTGCTCTGGCTAGCCCAACGAGCAGAGAGCCCCGGTGATGGTTTGATGGTTTGAGCTTTTTCATCGGGCACATGCGCAAAGAGAGATGGCCGATTTACAGTATCCAGCCTCCATGGCCCACCCGTCCCCGGCACCATCTTTCAGATCCAGACCTCGAGCTCCGTCCAATGGAAGATCAAGATCGAGACCGTCTTTGCGTCGGCGAGACTCTTCCCCTCCATCTTCCCCTCCACCTAGCCTCCCAACGCCCGCGTTTTCCCCCGATGGACAAACAGACGAAGATGATATCATCGAGGATACCTTATCACCATTCGACCCGCGCAGAATCACGCCTACTCTTCATGCATCTCTCGTGTCGGAGATTCTCTCCCTGCGGCGGGAGATAGAGAACAAAACCAAGTCAATCGATGTATTGGAAGACAGCTTGGACCAATCAAGGACGGAAAATGAAACATTGACCGCGAATCTCTCCCAGACGACCTGGGAAGGGCGCTCGTTGAAACACCAAATCCAACTACTGGAAGGTGGAACGTCATCTGCAATGACCGAGCTCGCTCGGGAGCGCGATGAAGCGGTCGAGAATATCGGCGATGTTCGTAAAAAGCTCGAGCAGGCACAGAAAAAAGCTCGGAGTCGGGAAGAGGACCTCGAACGAACCCAATTACTCTGGAGTCGCGACCAAGAGTCCTGGGCGGATGAGCGCCGAGCCCTGGAACGCAAGGTTCACGTAGTGGAAGGTCGCTTGAAGACCGTTCTAAACGAGGTCGCAGCCGCCCAGGAAGTGGCGACTATCCACTCGTCACAGCCGAGTGAGAATGGTGGCCTCGTTCATGACAAGAATAAAGAGAGCGACTCAGCCAGCGTGGCATCTAGTAGCCTAGGCCGCCGACGCACGAGCGTAACCAGCGTGAGCTCGGAAGAAGGTGAAGAGGCGGTCATATTCCATAGCATGCGGTACTCGGTTATGAGCGTTGCGCCTGGTGTCAAGAATGGTTCAGGCCTGAACTTGGCGGAGGAACTCGACTTTGATGAAGAAGACGAGTTTGATCCATCCGATGATGAACTCCCCGTCTCTCCGGAGGCGCTCCCCGAAGAACGACCAATGTCGGTCCACTCACAGGGGTCACATAGTATTTCTTCCAAGGCCAGGAAGATCCTGGGTCTGTCCCTTCAGAGCTCAGACTCACACTCACCCACTGCCATGGAGTTCCGTGCCCGGGATCTCGGGTTTGCTAGCTCAGTGAAACTTGACTCGGCGGTTGAATGCCGCGATATTGGCATCCAGTACTCACCTCCTCCGTCGCCTGCGACAGAAGCGAAGGTGGTAGACATTGGTCCCGAGTCCAGGAAAATGGCTTCAGAGCCCGAGAATGAAGACGACAACGCAAACATACCTGAAACGAAGGACAGCGTCACGATCCCCGCTGCACCTCTGATGGTTTCTACTTCTTGCCAAACACTGGAGGAACTCCCAACTCCTTCATGGGCGCTCAATGTGACTGAGCCGCCTCAGCCGGTTCAATCCACCCTAGAGCAGGTTCAAATGACATCGACATCCACCCAGACCGATGTCCTTCCAGAAACAGATGTCCGGAGCGAGAATCGTATCAGTTTGTTATCGAATAATGTCTCATCCAAGATGGACATTCCGATGATCGCCATCCATCCGCCAGGCTCCGAGCCACCCTCACCTCGGAACAGTGTCGTCCTTCCACCACAAACCAAGAATATCGCTTGCCAGGCCAACTTCCGGGCAATTGTTGATTGCCGATCCGTCGCCATCCAAACCGAGGAGATCCGTATCGATCAACGCCCTGTCAAACTTCCAGCCAGTCTTCTTCCTTCTGCTATTCAAGATGCACTACCTCGCCCTGAACCTCAGGGACCTAGCCTCGAGTCTTACACTGTGCCCCCGCTTCCGCCACGGTCCGAAAAGCGCCAGAGGCGTCTGATAACCGATCACCCAATAGATCGTCCCGTGAAGCCTCCTAGAGCACCCGTCCCAGATCATGTGCAAGCCTACCCCGGTAACAACGACAATGGTCCACTCTCAGATGATGCCTTGTCCAATATTCGACGACCTCTACGGTCTAGCAGTCTCTTCGCCGGCTTTGAACACAACAGCGACGATGAAGGCCCCCATGGCGAACGTGATGTCTTCACCGACGATGAGCTCCTCAACCGCCCATTTGCTGCATACACTGTCAGCCGTGGCAAGCTCATCACTTCGAAATCAAGACCCAGTTTGGACGACGTGGCTCTTCCCGAAGTTGCCGAGCAGCTGTCCTCCCCCGAGTCAAGGCCACCCGATATTGGCCGTTCCCGGGCCTCTCAACGGTCTGGCACGGCCTCCTCGAGTATCCGCCAACCCGGCATGCGCAAAATTGCATTGATCTCCAGTGGAGCTGCTGCACACCAGAAGCCCCGTGCCCGCAGTCCCAGCGAACCAAGCATCGAGAGCGGCAGTGCAGGCTCAAGCATTGCACCGCCGTTCCCCGTACCCATGCGTCTAAGCTCACGCAAACTCCCGTTCAACGGCAGCGACGGACCCCCAAGTCCTACTCGCTCAGCCGGCAGACAGTTCTCGGACCGCGGTCGGCAACCCGTCGTCCGCCGCCCAACCCTCCGCCGAGTGCGATCTGCTGCAGCAACATCACAGTCGGAACTTACCGAGGGGCCAGAAACTCGTTCTTCCCCGTCACGATCCATCTCGACCTTTTCCCCAGAAAGCCCCACATACCGACCATACCGACTACCGCCGATGCCGTGTGATGAGATCACAGCACCTCGTGAGCAGTACGGGCCACCGAAACGCGCCTCGCATCGTGCGACTCCGTCTCAAACCTGGAACCGGGAGCAGCGTGAAAGGAAGGATTCTACTGGCGGCGTGCAGCCGACTAGTGTCGTGGATGCCATTGCTCAAACCATGGTTGGCGAGTGGATGTTTAAGTACGTCCGTCGACGTAAATCATTCGGGATGGGCGAATCCAAGGAGATTTGGGAGGGCAAGAACCCCGACGATGTGTCGGCAAATATCACAAACAGTGGTGTGCGACATAAGCGATGGGTTTGGCTCGCCCCTTACGAAGGTTCCATTATGTGGAGTAGTAAACAGCCTACCAGTGGACCTGCATTGCTCGGCAAGAGTGGTCGGAAGTGTAAGTCTTCAAGGAACTCATTTGACTTGGTTCGAGTGACAGCTAACGTATAGATTCTCCTGGTTATAGTCACCATCCAATCCGTCCTGGACGTCAAAGACGACAACCCCCTACCCAAAGGCGCCGGCCCTTCGACCCCATTCAACCGTTCCATCCTGGTGTTGACACCACAGCGCGCTCTGAAATTCACAGCGCTAACCGTCGAACGCCACTACGTCTGGCTAACGGCCCTATCCTTCCTCAGCCATTCTTCAATGGGTCTCCAAGAACTTGCAGCCCTACCTCCAGTCCCCCAAGAAGAATCCCCAACCCTACCCCATGCCTTCCACCGTCGAAACCCAATCCGCGACTCCATCCGCGTCGCAAAAGGCCGTCCCCGCCCAATGCCAAAGGGCAAGCGCTCCTTCAACAGCGCTGGTGCTCCAGCCCCAGTTCCAGAAATCCCAAGCGGCAGCATCGACCTAGCAGCCGACGCACCGCATGTGCCCCGTTTCTCAACCCACAA